CTGTAAAATGTGGATGATGATTAGGCCCTAAAATGGCTCTATTTTGCAATGGAGCGCAGGCGTCCATTTTTAAAATGGCGATAGGCTTCATGACTGCTTTTAGGGGTGATCATCTTTGGATGGAATTTTTTCCCAAAAGTCATTAGTTAATCCCAAGAAATTGAACAGAAAATGAAAGATGATGAAATAAGCTTTCATTTGATGTACGCCTTGAACACCTCAGAGAGTTGTGAGTATTTTTCCCGAAATTCTGAAGTGGGGGCATTTATCATTGGGGTCTATATGGAAGTTTATTTACAGGTCTGCAACCTTAAAGTGCACAGGTACGTGAAGAGGGGAAGCGGGTGAGCGCTCTACAGGTAAGTACTTGCTATAATCGGCCCACACTTCTGTTGGTGGATTCTGCGCTCATCTTAATCCGATTTAAGAGTCTTTGTGCCAAAAAAAGTACACTGGGCAAAAAAAAGACCTAAAGTATAGAGGAAAAAAGTGGATGTCTGCTTTCTGCTGGCAGAATACACTGTGCGGCCCGTAAATTTACGGACTCCGTAAAGTGAAATATTCCTTAATTTTTGCGTAATTTTACGGACTTTCCGTAAATGCAAATATTAATTATGCTAATTAGCGTGATTTCAATCAACCACATCGGCCCAAACACCTACACATAATATAGTACATTTATGTACATATTGTTATTTCACCCACAACCGTGTACACATGTCCAAACTCATGTTAAGGGTCTGTTTATTTTACGGAATGAAAAAACTTTTCCGGAAATTTTGCTGCCAGCAAAAAAAATAGCGTTCCGTTTTTCTGCAGCAAATTATCCGAAAAGTTTTTTTCATTCCGTAGAATAAACAGACCCTTAACATTAGTTTGGACATGTGTACACGGTTGTGGGTGAAATAGCAATATGTACTTAGATGTACTATATTATGTGTAGGTGTTTGGGCCGATGTGGTTGATTGTAATCACGCTAATTAGCATAATTAATATTTGCATTTACGGAAAGTCCGAAAAATAAAGCCATAATTACGGAAAATTTCACTTTACAGAGTCCGTAAATTTACGAGCATTTTTAACAGTGAAGCAGAAAAGCAAATTGAACGTTTTCGAAAATTCCATTTTCAGCTTGTCTGCCTTTTTGCTATCAGGAAAGCAGAATTTACATTTTAATAAAATCTACTTTGCTGTTGTTCTGCATTTCTTATATTTAAAAAAAATAACATTTTTCTTTTCTTCCTTTGCTGTCCGAAGCAAAGTGGACATCTACTTTTTCTAGGTCAAGGAGCCAGGGCAGAAAATCAGATCGAACATTTCGACGTTTCCTAGTTCCTGCATTTTTTCTACCCGAAAAGCAGATTTTACTCAGGCGGCCGAAAAGTGACGATCTGCTTTTCTCCATACAAAAAAGTAGAAAAGTCGATCTCAAGTTTTGAATAAGTTTTCTACTTTTTTGGCTATTATCTATCAGAGAAGCAGGTTTTACTTAGGCAGCCAAAACCAGGGGATTTTTTTCTTCTGCTTTTGAAGACACAGACAGACCCAGTTCGAGCCATTACTCCATGTTATGCGATCGTGTAGTTTCACTCTCAAAAAGATATGTAAAAAAATGATTAGGTAACAATTTTTGTTAAACACAATTTCGGTAAAATTCGCCGAAAAAAAGTACCTCAAAAACATGTAAATTGGAAAATAAATATTGAATAAGTGAAGCAGTCAGTTTACCTTAATTATGTAAAAACGAACTGCAGTAAGGTAAAACGTACTTAACACAAGGTAAAAACGTACACGCGGTGACGCGATGCAGCTAGCACAACACAGCATATATAAGTGAATATTTCATTTTTCATTTCATTTCATTTATTAATTTCACAGGTAAAAATTCAAGTACAGACAATAAGAACAGTAAAGAAAACAAAAACATGCACATACAGTTAGGAGAGAGGACAAGAAAACAAAAAGAAAAAAAAAAAGTAGCACCCCTGATGGAGTACACCGTGACGTCTGTAACAACGAGGGGATATGCCGCAGCTAATTTCGGTCTTTGAAGGTAACATTTTCTAAAGCTCTTGTGATTGTTATACCGTCCCCAAGCCCTAGAAATGCCTGGACACTTGTTACGATAAAAACCTCAGGATATTCTTAATATTTAATAGTAGTGTTTAACTCGGCCACTGCGCGTTTATACAACTCGTACGTGAACCAACTCGTACATGTCGTACAACTCGTACATGTCGTACGCGGGCCAACTCGTACGCCAGCCAACTTGTCTGCCGGCCAAAATTAGCCAATTTAAAGAAATTGAACGATACACCGTTCCCAGTACATAGTCAAGAATCGTCGACCACATATAATTTTGTATACGGGTTTAATTCTGTGTACGAGTTGGACCGCGTACGAATTTGTCCACGTACCCGTTGAGGAAAGAATGTTTCTGGTAGCAGATAGGCGGAAAAGCAGACAAACGAAAGCTTTGAAAATGTTCAATCTGTTATTCCGACAGAAGAAAAGCTCCATATCCCAAGCATAATGCAACTTTTGTCCAACCGGGTCGAAAATCAGCCTAAATGTGCTTGTCTGATTTAAACTGCTATATGCTGTTAAGGCCACAAAAAAAAGTCTCCGGTTTCTGGTATGGAGCTTGCCCAAAAAGTGGTGCGGCGACGCGGCTTTGTTTGTTTTTTTACCTGTTTTTTTTTTGCTTCAAATGTCGGCTGAGGACTGCAATTGGTGCCCGACTAAACTTAGTGAAAATATATGGGAGTCCAGAGAGGCCACATAAAGCTTATTCTCGATCATAACCCAATCTAAAAACACGTTAAAATTGTGCAGCAGCAGGATTCCAGTCAAACCAGTGAGTTTGGCATTTTTGAGACATCATCTTTTATTGAAAAAAAAAAACTGTTTCCTTTTGCCGACGCGCATGGCTACGGCGACGCGCGCGCATACCAGAAACCGGAGACTTATTTTTTTTGGCCTAAAGCTACAAGAACCATGGAATCATTTAAGGCTAGTGTTAGAAATCACTTCCACTGCCAAATAAATCGCCAAAAAGAGTCCGAAGATTTCACGATGGATGTTACTCACCATAGACTGTTGTTGCAAATATCAGTACACCCTAGCGCAGATCCATTGTGATTACCTCTCTCCGTTCTCTTGCTGTGTTCTCTTGCTTGCTTTCCGGTCTTTGTGAGATGCAAACGTGCACCGACGGTCAACAGCGTTTTTTTCTGGCATTTCTTTAACAGACCCCGTGTTATTACTTCGGCCGTTATGATCGATAAATACTCGACCAATACTTCACACTACGCAAGCGCAGTTCAGTTTGCTAAATACTCCTCAAGTTAAAAAAAAATTGCTTAACGAAGTTTGAAGGTGGCGTTTGTTTCATAAACACTGTGCAAGCGCAGTTCATTTTGCTAATTACTTCACATGTAAAAATGAATTGCATAACGAAGTTGGAAGGTGGTGTGTTTGTTAAACAGTTTGTATAGGCTATGCAGCAAATTAAGTTTTATTAGGAAAAAGTTTGGGATAGACACGTGGGAAACGTATACAAAACGTTGCAAGGTTACTACTGGAATAAGTGTGCATTTAAGTGGAGGTGTTTAATGAGTGAAGGTGTTTTTTATGACAATCTTTAAATGCCATGCCTTGTACATTTCAGTCTCACTTTCCACTACGCATGTGCGACTCCTAGGGTTATTTGCACACGTAACGAGGGCTGCCGATTTCACGCCGATGATGAGACACTGGCAAAGATGCCTTGGTATTTTATCGATTAAACATCTAATTAGGAAGCCGTCACAGTATCACATGAATACTTGGTTCTATCACTGTATATTTGTCGAAGAAAATGTTTTAAAATATTTTCTGAGAAACTTACAAGTGGTGATTTCATTAAACAACTTTTCTCAGTCTTTTCTCGGATGTCGTTTACATCAAACCACCGGACTCATCAACATTTTCGAGAAAAAAAATCAGTCTGTGAATTTGACATTGAAGCCATTTATCTAGATCTATATCTCCATTAGCCAGTGTCAAACAAAAGAAGTGGCGTATCATATCGGGGACCCCCCTGTAAGTGACAGGTTGAGTGCGCGCGGGCCATTGATCTCCATATACACAGACTGTGTATATGGAGATCAATGGCGCGGGCTTACCTTTAAGCATGCGCGCGCGGGCTTACCTCCAAATAAATTATGCGCGCAGGTTGTTTTACGATGCGCACACTGAACATTCTATATGATGCGCGTTCGTGTATACGTTACTTTCACTTTCACTTTCACTTCATGATCCTACAGAGTGTTACATAATCGCTAGCTACTTATTTCTTCATCTAATCGATAGCTTTAGGTAAGAAAATGCTCCTTTCTGTTATGTTATACTCTGTAAATGACGAAGACATAAAATAGTACACGTCTTGAGCGGACCGGTCTTCGTCAAACAACAGTAACGGTGAATTAAGTGCGCCGTGCATAATTTAAATTTGGCATCATATTCAATTGAACATAAACGAAGCCTCTCTCCACCCGGGTGCAGGTAAAGACCAGAAATGCACTGATCTCGAGCTGCTGCAGAAACTGGTCTTATTGGCCTGATGAACAGGGGTAATAAATGTGAAGCGCTTTGAGACCTTTGGTATAAAGCGATATAAGCACCAAATCATGGCGTAGAATTATGCAGTTTGGGGGGGAAATGAATTCGCGGCCGGGAGTTCCCCGCCACACTATTCTATCACGAAGACTTCTTCAGTTAATGTGAAAGCATTGTATAGTTTCTAAACCATTATGATTGTTAAGACTAATCCGTCGGGGCAGTGCTTTGTTTCTCCAATGAAGGGGCCTCGTGACGTGAGTGTATGGGTGATTACGTGCCCGGATTCGTCATTTACCAGTACGTGATTATGAAGTGGTATGCCGCCCTCTCGCGACAAATGAAATAACACCTAGGCCATTTCCTAGACGTCTCCCATGAGAAATCTCAAAATGGACAAAACGAGCACCCGACGATTTACATTTTTTCTGCAGTCTTGACAACATGACAACAGCATTGAGTTGATCGCAGAATCGGACCGTTAAATCTTACGAAAATGCCAGGTAATTTCCGTATTAAATTGACTACCCTTTGGAAAGAGTAAGGAATGAGACAGTAGGACAAATTACAAATGTAATTTTCCTGTCGGGGAATGAGAAATTCTTGTGGAAAGAATGCTGCATCATGACCCCGACGCCACTTTTTCATCATAAATCGGCAGTGTAGGCTATTTACTCAATAGCCGGCGCCGGCTAAATTGAAGTAGGCCTAAACGATATTTTGCCGGCTAAGCAATGAACATGCGCAGTGACTTTTTGAGGACTTAGAATTTTTTACCGTGACAAATCTTAGTGTGGTTCCACACAACATTAAATGTTGGCGCGGAACCAGATGATCAAATCATATTAAGAAATTGGAAGTGTTTCTACAGCCAGTACAACTCCTATACATGGCGTAGGCTAGCCCCATAAATGTGGCCTATTTTACTGGACTGCCTCCGTAAACATAGGCCACACATCCACATGTACAAAAACGTGTCGATTTTGCCAAATTTTGATTTTCACATTTAGGCTTACTTTGTAGGTTTGTTTTGCTTTAGTTAGAAGCATTCTCACCCTCTATATAGGCTAATCAGAAAGTGCTGCCTTTTTCAGATGTCTAATTTTTGTGAAATTTCATGTTGAAATTTTGATACGCAAACGTGTGAAAATGTATCTGGAAATTTCACGAAAAATGGACATCTGAAAAAGGCAGCACTTTCTGATTAGCCTATATAGAGGGTGAGAATGCTTCTAAAGCAAAAAAAAACCTACAAAGTAAGCCTTAATGTGAAATCAAAATTTGGCAAAGTCGACACGATTTTTGTACATGTGGATGTGCAGATGTGTGGCCTATGTTTACGGAGGCAGTCCAGTAAATAGGCCACATTTATGGGGCTAGGCGTAGGCCTACAATAAATTATTGGAATAGAAAGGTTAATGTGTGGCAGTAGGCCTACTTGATTTTTACTTTCATATTAAGTCTAAGAACATTGTATTATTTTGTTGTGCCATTATTTAAACATTGAAATGAAATAAAGTCCACTAAATTTTAAGATTGCTTCAAAAGTGATTTGTATGGTTAGACGTAGCCCGACTGCGTCTGGCCGTACAGTACTATCGCAAGCTCTGTAGTACGGCCAGACGCCCGATGCTTCCACAGAGACTGAATTTTGTTGGCCGCCGATGTAGCGATTTTGCTACATCTTTCGATCGCGATTATCTTTTCATCCAGGACACACATTTCCAAAGTTAAGGTTCGTAGTGGTAGAGCAACTCATACCTTTTCGAAAAAACGTTGTTTGGTCTCAATATTTTCATCCATCTGGCCACAAGACGAATTTCAGTCATCAGATTCCACAAATATCATCCCCCATGCGATCCCCCATGCGATTTCAAAATGGCGGCCGCGCTGTAATGTATGCAATATGCAGGCGCGCCCGCGCAAACTCATGAATATGCATAAACAGTCTGTGACGTATGACCTCGTGTTTTTGGACGTGCGTGCCCCGCCGCACGCACGTCCAAAAACACGAGGTCATACGTCACAGACTGTTTATGCATATTCATGAGTTTGTGCGGGCGCGCCTGCATATTGCATACATTACAGCACGGCCGCCATTTTGAAATCGCATGGGGGATCGCATGGGGGACGATATTTGTGGAATCTGATGACTGAAATTCGTCTTGTGGCCAGATGGATGAAAATATTGAGACCAAACAACGTTTTTTCGAAAAGGTATGAGTTGCTCTACGACTACAAACCTTAACTTTGGAAATTTGTGTCCTGGATGAAAAGATAATCGCGATCGAAAGATGTAGCAAAATCGCTACATCGGCGGCCAACAAAATTCAGTCTCTGTGGAAGCATCGGGCGTCTGGCCGTACTACAGAGCTTGCGATAGTACTGTACGGCCAGACGCAGTCGGGCTAGGTTAGACGATGACTTGTAAACCTTGAATCAATTCAATACAAATTTGCATAGTCCCTGAACTTCTCTGTAGACTGGATGTCATATTGAATGCCAGTTGTTGATAAACACATCTCAACCCTAAATCTATGTCAAGTTTTTTTGATGACTTATTTGTTGACAGGCCAGAGGTTAATGAATATTCATGATGCGGTGCGCAATGGCGACACCTTGGAGTTGGAGTCTATGGTGAAGCGGGGCGCCAGTATCAACGAAGTCGACTCCAAGAACAAATTTACTGCCTTGCACTGGGCATGTCACTGCGGTGCGCTTGAGGTAATTTTAAGTAGATTTAGTTTAGCCACTGGTCACAAAAGAATGGAACTTGAATGCCTTTTTTTCATAATTTTTTTCCGTCCTTTTCCCCTCATACTTTCCCCCTCAAAATTTGGCCGGTTTTTGAGGTGGGAGGAAACCCTTGGCAAAAGTCTTGGGTAAAATTTCAAGAAATCAAATCAGGTTTGGACTTAAAACCCAATACAGGACCAGGACTTGTGACTGGACTTGTGAATTACTTGTGAGTTGGCTTGTGATGGACTCTCCTACATGTACATCTTGTATCTCTAGGTAACTCTGTGGCCTGACCCTCATGGAGTTATTTGCTAGGTGTAAACTCTTTGTGATTTCTTGTGTCTGGTATACCTGCAGTGTTTGCACTGGTTGCTGTGGCACGGTGCCGACCTCAATGTGAAGACTCCACAGGGATGGACCCCGATACACATCGCTGCCATCCGAGGACAAGACCAATGCATCCAGGTGGCGTGAATATTGAAATTATTATTTAAATACGATAATTGAAAGAAGATACAAATATCTGAAGGTATTTGGCCACAGCATCTGCATGTTCAGTGGACTTGTCTCTCTGACACAACAAAGCCTCGCATTGTGATTGTGGTTTTTTGTTTTGTTTGGCTGGTGTACAGGCATTGGGTACCAGTGGAGCAAGCATGAATTGCCGCGACCAACGCGGTAATACGCCCGCTCATCTGGCAGCTGCTCACGGCAATTCCTACACCCTCAGCTCTATACTCCGGGCAGGAACGGTATGTAAGCCTTTCCTTTGTCACTACATGTAAATCACACAAAATGAGACTTACAGACTTTTCTTTTCTATTCATTTTCCATATATGGCTAAGAAAGAGGACTCTTTCCTCTTCACTTTTAAACATTGCACAAGTAAACTTTGCTATAGCCAGTCTGTTGCTCTTTGAGACATTTGTTCAGTTACACCTCATTGCTCATATAGGCCTACAGAGTACTTCTTTTGCAGGACCACCTCTGATTAAGATCTGACTTCTGTAACCTAGATAAAGCTTTGTACGCCCAAATTTCAACGGCAGTTCAGATATTTGCTACAGGGCTGTACATGTACAAGGAGTTTGCTTGCTTAAGAATCAGAAAAGCCACTTTTCTATTTTAATTAGAATTCCAATTTTCTTTTCAAATTTCCTTTCATAAGTCTGATTTTTCTAACGATTTTTCCCCGCAAAATATGCTTTTTTAAAATAAATGTCAACACATCTCATCTATTGTGAGTGCAATTGTAATCTGCTTTACTAGTCATTAAAACATAGTTCCTATGGTGGAAAGACATCAGCAAGCTTTGATTGGAGCATTTTATCTGCTTATGGCTGGAAATGGGTTTAGGCATTAAGGTACATGTTGCATCTGTGCTTCTAGGTTGTTGCATGTGGAGTTGGAGGAGGGTAGGCTTTTCCAGACCCCTGGCCTATTTTCAGATTTTTTTTCCAAAAGCCAGTTGAATCTCCCACTAACACAATCATATTTTTGTATAGGATATTGAAGCTAAGAATATGACCGGCTGGACGCCTGTCCATGTCGCTTCATACCACGGCAGACTGGGTTGTCTACAGCTACTGGTCAAATGGGGCGCTAGAACTGACGATACCGACAGCACTGGCAACATACCTGGTAGGAAACGCACATTTCTGTGTTGAGAACATTTCTATGACAAGCAGCTCAACGAAATAATGGCTTCTGAGCATCTGCTACCACACAAAAGAGAAAGTTAACCCATTGGTCAACCATATCTTATGGTTTTGTTTCATCAGCTCACCTTGCCGCCTGTGAGGGTCATCTCCCGTGCCTCAAGTTTCTGGTCAGTCACGGAGCGAGTATGTCGGAGACTCTAGGAGCGAGGAATGATAACGGAGAGACGCCCAAGACACTGGCCTCGCAGTTCTACAAACAGAACTGTGTGGACTACATCAACGCAGTGGGTACGCAACGCTTATTAAACTAAAAAAAATAAAAAATTCACTTCCAAATTACTTTTTTTGTTAAAAGCTTTAACATATCAGAAAATGACAGCTGGTCTGTTGTTCTGTGAATTTGTATAATTCAACTGTTTGTAATTGACAGCATGTGTTGCAAATCACATATCTTGTCTTTTGTATTAATCATTGAAGCTGTAAAAGTCACGAATGCAAATGTATCTTCCTATTGTGAAGTATAAGTTGAATCAATTTTCTAAATTGAAGTTTAATCAATTTTATGTTTATTCTTTTGTCTAGAATGGGAGCGAGATCATCCTGAAGATGAAGAGAGTAAGTCCGATTTAATATAATATGGGGCTTTTGCCCTTTACTAACGTATTTATATAAACACTGCATAGTCATTGTTGTCCCGAGTTGTTGTGAGAAAAAAACTACAAACTACTCAGGTTGGATTCAAACCCATGACCACCTGCTGCACACATCTGACCACACATCTTACATAGTTTTATAGGTGGGAGGACAACTCCAGATAAATACTCTTTAACCCTTACTCTCTGAGGGTAGTTTACTGCATGTCAGTTGGTTATGCCAATGCCCTCCAGCTGCAGTTTATTGGAGGATACTTTGATGTAGCAGTGAAGGCTCCAATTGGCAGGAGTTGGAGGCCCTGGAGGGTGCCTGATACTGACCAGCTGGGGGCACTCACTTTGTTATCAGAGGACTCTCATTGTTCTCTGTGGCATGTATTGGAGTGCCTGTCCAGTTACCCTTGAAATGACATGGCAGATATTGGAGGGCCATGCAAAAAACATAGGAGATTTTCTTGAGGCACAATTGGCATGCGTTGGAGGGTCAAGTAGGGTAAGGGTTAATCCACGGAATAGGGTAAGGTCTGAAAACCCAATCCACCTGTTTGGCCCTTGTGTGATTTGAATGGGGGTCACAGGTGGAAAGAAACGAAAACACTGAATCAACAAGACGTGTCTACTTTCAGAAGTATTAAGGATCACCCAAGAGCAAACAACAGTTTATGTTTTGTCACGGAACGAGTGAATAAAAAGCCGACTTGCATACCCTTCAGAAGCTCTTAACATCTCAAACCTTGTAATGTCGTTGGATTTAGACTTGGCCTTCCCAGCACACATCGCAGCGTATACCGGCGACTTGAGCCATCTCAAGATGCTGATTGAGCAAGGAGTTGTCAACATCAATGAACGAGATGAGAAAGGCTCTACTCCAGCTCATAAAGGTGAGTTTTGTAAAAAAAAAAAAAAAGAGAAAAAAAAAAGCCCTTGCTCCCGCCCCCCAAAAAACCTATTTTCCTTTGGGTTGCATATTCAACTTCATCACCTTTTTAAAAGTTCAACCTGTTGTTATTTTAAGAAAATACTGATACAACTAATAGATGATTGGACTGCACTGATGAATGTGTAGTGTTTATAAAGTATTATGTCAGGAATCTAATGCTAGTTTTGACATTTTTTCCATGTGTGTTTTCTCTCAGCTGCCGGAAACGGTCACCTGGAATGCCTGCAGTGGCTGGTTGAAATGGGAGCTAATAGTAAGTGTCTTTTTTGACTCGGTCTCAATCCTAATCCGTTCCTAATCTGCATCTTGATCCTAATCCCACTACTAATCACAGTACCAATCCTAAAACCAAATCCCAATCCCATTCACCATGCAAACATTAAACCCAGCCTTAGTCTACATTCAAATTCCAATCCCACAATCTACACCCGTAAAACCTGTCAATTCAAAGCAATAATCCAAATCACAACTCCTAAACAAAACAATTCCCTAAACGAATTGAAAACCCACCAATAATGCCAATCCCAAATTCATTCCCAAAAAAATTGCAAACCCCATCCCATTGCCAATCTGAATCCCAATTCGATTCTAAAAAGCAAATCTTATATCAAACCCAAATCCAATCCAAATAGTTATCTCAGTCCCACTTGCTCTCAAGAAATTATAATTCCAATAATGCCAATCCCAAATTCATTCCGAAAAAAGTTGCAAACCCCGTCCCATTGCCAATCTGAATCCCGATTCGATTCTAAAAGGCAAATCTTATATCAAACCCAAATCCAATCCAAATAGTTATCTCAGTCCCACTTGCTCTCAAGAAATGTCTGACTTAATCTGACTGTCTGACTTAATCCTATTCTTACAAACATTTCTGACAGTTCACATCCAGAACTCGGCAGGAGAAACACCTCTGGAAGTAGCTACTCGCTTTGCTCAGCTAGCCTGCGTCAAACTTCTCAAGGGCGATGAGTCAGGTATGAAACTTATTGAAGTTATTTTAAGTTTTTTAATATTTGTGTACTCTTTGCATTGAAATATCACTCAACATGTTCTTTCATTGGCAGAGACTTTTCAAGGAATTTCACGTTTCATAAGGTAGCGTCACCTTCCCCCTTTCCAAAAAACCCCCAAAACTTCAGTGTTTGGAAAGAAAACACAAAGACAGGATAGGATATACTTTCCGAGGACTAATATTCAAATAGTAGATCTTCTCAATAACTCTTGTTCTCCATCAGCGCGAAGCAGATATCATGACATCAACAATTAGTCTTAATCTATCAAAACTGATTTGAAGTATGTACTTGCCCATAGCCCAGTTTCAAGTTAGCAACTCGTGCAATTGTAATTTTCCTTTCCTTTTTATCCCTGTGTAGATTCAGATGAGGGGCCTGCAGATTATGCTGTCACTGATGAGGATAATGAAGATAAGATTGCTAGATTATCCGCTGACCATGGGACAGGGGAAGGCGAGTCTATCCCACTGACTGGCAAACAGAAAGAAGAGGCTAGAGGTATGAACGCAATCTAAATTTTGAAGTGAATAGGATTAGGAGGGGGATGAGATTAGGAAGGGATTAGGAGGGGATAATTGGGATTCAGGGTGATAGTCTATCTGCTGATCAAGGGACTGGGAAGGGGAAACCATCCCACTGACTGGAACCAATCTGACAATTTTTGCCGTGACATGACTTCAAAACAAAATGTGGTCAGGGAGTATTACTCTTGTGTCAGACATGAAGCAGTTTTAGAAATGCGTCTGAACATTTGCTTTAAACTTGTCACAGGGCGTGCCTTGAAACGTGTTGAAGAGCTGGAAAGGTTGCTGGGGATCTCCAAGCAGAATTATCACCAGCTGGGAGGACGATTGGATGAAGACAGAGAGAGGAGACAAAGGGATAGGGAGAGCGATCGGTAAGCTAGGAAGTAGCACAAGACTGAGTGAGAAATACTGGGTGTGGTTGACTCAACTACTGTGTGTGTGTATTTGATGGGGTCCGTAAAAGATTTATTATAGTGGTTGTTCGTTATAGTGATTGTGCTTTATAACAGAATTTACTATTTCGGAAGCCAATGGGGATGTTGGTTATAGCCAAATATTCGTTATAGCGCATTACTGGACCAAGCCCAGTCTAATGTGGCTTTCGCGAACCCGTGAATCCCGGGTTCGTATTCATGAGCCCCCTACTAAGATAATGGCTATTTAATCAGTTGATGACCATAAATATGTTCTTGATAAGCACTCAGGCTATCCCCAATGTATATGCGTCTGTTGTTTAGAGCCAGCCTGCCTCCCATCAGAATTTGAGTGACGAGTGACGAGCCAGTTAAGTGCTGGAAAGAAACCTACAGCTAAGAAAGCCACTTTAGACTGGGCTTGGTCCAGTAATGGGTGTTCGTTATAGCGGCGTTTCACTGTACTGGGTGTGGTCAATGAAATACCTGGTGTAACTGAACAAAATATGTTGTTCAATTTTGGGTGTGGTTGACCCAATTATTGGGTGTGGTTGACCCAAATGTTGGGTGTGGTCGACCCAAATACTGGGTATGGCTGACCCATACTGTGTATTTTGACCCAAATTTTGTGTGTGGCTAAACAAATATAAAGGCTAAACAAAAATTGTTAATCACTCAATTTGGGTGTGGTTGATCCAACGCATAAAACATTGGGTTTTGCTTATATTTTAGATGTTGTTGACTCAAACTTTGAATGTGGTTGCATGACCAAACTTTTGGGTGTGGTGGACTCAAAAACGGGGTGTGGTTAACCCAAATACATGATAAGTTATCCAAAAACGAGTTGTGGATATGCAAATCCTAGTTATACATGAGAAACCTAAATATTGGGTGTTTTACCTTTGCTACATCAAGAAGAAAATAGTCCAAGCTTTTCGTTGTGTGTATTTTTGTCCTCAGTGTCATCGGTGAGTTGGAATCCCAGCTTGAGTATGAACGTCTACGACGTGAGAAACTGGAGTCTCAGCTGGACCAGTGCCGGTCTGAGATACAGCATCTCAACGCTCAGTTGGAGAGAGCCTCCACAGTGGGAGTGGTGAGTAGTCATGAATATTCATAAGCTGGCATATTAATTGCCTCATTGATAAAAATTCAGTCTGGAAAGTAGAAGCACTGCATTAGTGTCAAAAGGTTGTATCTCGCTTAAAATAACCCGGATATGTACACACAAAGTCAATGGACGTCGCGATATGCGAGATACGACCTTGTTGCGTGGAGCGTATTCACGCGAGATATGACTTTGTTGCAGAATCGAGTTACAATCTTGTTGCACTGACGCGACAATGTTAAACCTTCTTTGAAAAGAAAATCGCATCCTCTGCATCACTCTCTCTTCACATTTCCCCCCCCCCCTTTTTTTTTAATCTTCACCCACCACCGCACTCCTTTGGTTCTTCCCCTGCTTAATCCGTCTTTGGTGTGTCTCCTTCCACCCTGCATGCTTGTGTGTCTCCTACTTGTTTGTTTCTGTACCAGTACTGTCATTTTGCCTAAAGGACCGAAACATTATGCCCTCTCTAATTTTGTTCATCTGATGGTATGTTTGCCTCAATGAAATGAATTTTAGCTCACATTTAGTTCCATGTGAGAATATTGCCCATAAACCCTTGTTTGTGGAAGTCAAATTTCGGCCTTAATACCATCACTGTTATACATGCAACTGAAATTTAAGACTGAGCCCAAGGTGTTGTTTGATTCATGTCTTGATCTAGAGTGAAGAAGAGAGCAAGCCAAAGAAGAAAATCAAGAAGAAGACCCGACAGTCGGACGGCGGTGTGTTTGTCAAGAGAACTGTCAGCAAACCTGCTGCCAACAAGACTACAGACTTCTTCTGAGCTAGCCTATCATGGCAGGAAGGGGGAGGGGAAGGGAGAGACCACCAGTACTGAGAAGGGGAGGGGGCCACTGATCTCTATATAAAGACTGGATAGCTAATAAAGAGCCGCACAATGTACGAATTTGACGCCATATTGGTGAGACCGGCTGGTGATCTACAAAGGACAAGTTGCCGTCTTTATAGACAGCATGATTTCTTTTGTAACGTCGCGGTTCACTCACTTGACTTATATTTTGGCCACCACCACTGACCAAGTCACCAACTGACCAAGGTTTACTACAATTTTTCTAACGTCGTGATTACTTTTATAATGCCGCAAATCACTTTTTCGGCGTTTTTGAAATAATAACCACCACGGAAATGTGTCCTTTTTAGAACATCATAATATGTGTACGTGACCAAAATGCGCGTCAACTGTTGATACAACGCGCGCGTATTTACGCGTAGAACGTTCGTATTATACGCGGCCATCTTCGTGAGACCGGGGGCGAATTGGTCAATGTGCGAAGTCTACTGTGTGAATGTTGTATGCATATCCGCTATCCAGTCTTTATATAGAGATCAGTGGAGGGGGCACTGCATGCCTTCTGACCCTAGGGGGTACCATTAAAACATGTTTGTGTACATTTTTATCCAATGATAGTGCGAGTGGCACACACAAAATGTGCCTCTGTGTGCCATATAACACAAGGTCGAAGGCCAAGTCATGTTGATCACAAACGCATCATATTTTTCTTGTTTAACAAATACCAATGGGATTATAAATTAATATTCATGTAAACTTGATGCACAGAAAGATGCCATGCGTAGAAATTTCCGCAGCAGGAAAAACATGCATCTAATACAGGTTATACAATAATAAATCCCATCACCTGATTGGTGGGTCGTTGATCACGTGTCATTGAATTATTCGTCCCAACCCACGACCCGGACGCGATTTTTTTTTTTACACAACTATCTGGGGTACTTTGTGCGCTTTCCTATGGGGCTTGGTTGTAATAACCAGGCTTGAGTGGAGGCTACTATTTTTCAACTAAGTACGGATTTCGGTCTTTATTTCCCTTTTTTTTAAAAATCCTCCAGAGCCTCAGATCAGGAAAAGAAAAAGGAATTTGCTGCTATACAAGTAGTATCCGACTGAAAAATAACGTTTTTAAGATACAATCCTATAACCTTGATTCAAGTCGCCTGAAAAATGGGTACCCCAGATAGTTGTGTAAAAAAAAATATCGCGACCCGGACGCACCGCAAAAATTAAAGTTCCATTCCATGGTAAATAGAAGTTCCACGGTAGGGTCACGCTAGCTGCCAATCAGATGACGATGTTCAGGCATGGTATAAAACAAATGATTGTTTCCCATTCGTGCAACGGTAAGAGTAATTTCATTCTGCGACCTGTCACCTCATGAAATTATTACCATGTTTTTGCCATGGATTGACCATCTAATCAAAGATTCAAGTTTGCTCAAAGAGAAGAGAAGTGTACCGATCTTTATGGCATTCTTTGCAAAATGTACTTACTTTTTGTTCAAATGTGTGGTTGACAACCAAAATTGTAGCGGTATTATGTAAATATTGTGAAGATATGCGATACTTGGAATATTTGCTTTTGCTTGTGCATATATGCAGCCAGTACTAACAGTTCTGTGCAGAATTTCTGTGGTAGTGCCGTTTGCAAAAAAATAGTCGCTTTTGTCAGTCAAAATATGATTCAGTACTTTGTATGTGTAGCAATCAGTGACATTAAATTTTGATGTGAATCTAAAAAATAAAGCCATTATCTCAGTGAAAGGCAAAATCCCTAAAAAAAAACCACTTAAAATATAAGCTCCTTACACATTTAATAGTTGTACAGTGAAAAAGTTTAGTCTGTGCATTGTCTGTGCATTTTTTTAGCAGCCTGTTATGTGTCATTGTGTAATTACCATTATCGGTGGGCTTGTGTGCAGGCAGGTGCAGGCAACTGCAAGCCGCCTCCGGCATCTCTCACTAAGTAAATAATCTGGTGTAGGGTAATCAGGCCATTTGGTCACCCAGCAGCTGCTGAACATAACATACGACGTTTACTGAGGTCCTGGCCTGCGTCTACCGGGGTCCGCTCACAAGTCCGACGCCTCATACATGTAGGTCCGACGCCTCATAAGTCCGAAATTTCGGACTTCTGTGGGATGCGTCGGACTTACGAGGCATAACAATTATTTATTCAGCCTCATATAGGTCCAAAGCCGCATAAGTGCCACGCCTCGTAAGTCCGAAACAGCGTTTGTTCATTGTCGGACTTGTGAGGCGTCGGACCTATGAGGCGGAATTTATGCCTCATAAGTCCGACGCTTCATAAGTAAATAAAATCAGACTTATGAGGCGTCGGACCTTAATATGATACTGCCTCTGTTTACCATGGGGGTCGTTTGTGTTGTCTGAACAAGCCTATAGACATGTTATACAGGCATGCAACTCTTCCTCATATCCACTGATTTCCTCGTTTTTTACTTCTCATGAATGCCATTTCAAGATGAAAAACACTGCACAAAATCTTGTGTGGTTTGGATTTCCTAGTTTTTTTCTAAATTCCCAGTTGCACGCCTGGTTATAGGCAAAGCAGATTTGGAAATATCCTTATTCATTAAGGAAATGTCATGTACAATAATAAGCAGTTTTTCATAGATGAATGTCTCTAAAATGTATATAAACTTTATTATCATGTTGGATGTGTGGAGAACCCTTTGGGTAGAGTACCAGCTTTGTGAATTATCAATAGATATTTGAGCAGAGAATTAGGAAAAACTTATGATTGGTTTATTGCATGAATGATTAGTTGGCTGGCTGGTAAATTGGTCAGTCAGTCGTTTGTTAATGAACTATTGTCTTGTCAGTATTATTTTATTTCGTGCATTTGCATGGATAATCATGATTAAATGTAACTCTTCACTGTATCATGCATTTTAGAAAGGTTAATAGAAGACGTCATTTTCCTCAATATCTATAACTGTAAGCCAGTGGAACTTGATATTTTTGGCAGTGTTACAACTACTGCTTTTGTAACCGACTGTAGCTGTACATTTCAATAAATTTCTTGATACATGTACATGACAAGTGAATATGTTATGCATATAGTGATGCTATTTGTAAATTAAAAAAAAGTCTAGTGAATATGAACACTCCTGATTTGAAGTTGTTTTTCTTTTCTTTTTTTAGAAATGCTGATGATTTATTGAAAACAAAACGCTGATAACTCAATATCCATTGGTGAAATGTAGGGGATCCCCGCCTTTAAAAACCTGGAAAAGAGTGTTTAATGGGAAACGGACAAAATTGTGATTATCAAAAATTCTGGATTTCAATTCTGTAATGCTTTAATTGACTGTAGGGTTTATGTATAAAGCAATTTTGCCTCGCAACTTTTTGATAATGATGAAACTCCCTGTTGTACAGTGTTCCAAAAGTTTGTAGTAATCAGCAAAAAAATAAACACCTTGAAATCTGCACCATTTAGCCTTCCATACTTGTTAAGCAGATCTTAATGCAAGTATGACAAAAACATGAGATATGACGAAGTACATGTAGATAGGCCATCAGCCTGGGGGTTTGGCCAGTATCAAATCAGGGCATGAATAATTATAGTGCGCATGCGCAAGGTATACCGCCCCTAGAGTGTTAACAAGCATTTTGATGGACATTTTGAGAAAATGGGGTGATAACACCCAAAAAGCTGCCACCCCTGCAATGCTATCACATATTTTCCATTTTTGGAGGTGTGTACCTTGCCAAAAAACGCTGTGATGATTATTTCCCTCATTTGATACCGGTGGCCAAAATTTTGGACCGAGGCTGATGGCCTAAGATCCTTCTTTAAACTATGTCTGCTTTCCTCATTGGGTCACTCACATCATCCATTTTTCACAAGTCACAAAGACCAGTAAACCTTTCTACTTTCTAAGCTTTAGATGGCTCTCTTTGGTAATAATTCAGATCAGTACTACTACTGATAGACAATTACATGTACGTGTCATCTGCTTCATGTTCCCATGCTTTGGTGTTTCTCTCCGGATGTCAGTACAATTTGCGCACATCCACTTAAAAGTTATTCCTGCCAATCACGTACACAAGCCAGTGTGCATCCATTACATACATGTCCTTTAGCTCTTGCGAACAGGCAACATTGCCATTTACAATTACTGCACGATGGCCATTAACCCCTTATTGCCGGCCGATGATGATGATGCGGTCCGGTAATCCTTCCGGTATGTTGTAAGCCTCGCTATGCTGTGGAAAGCGGTCTGTGAGCCGTGCAGCTGCCACTGGACAAAGGCCGGTAAAGTTAGGCATGATAATACCGGCGTCAAGGGGTTAACAGTTACTGCACGAGATATAAATAACAAACATGATCAATTCAGCATGGTACAGTTGGAAGGTTCCAAGTTCTTGTGGAGTTTCATTTTCAAACTGCATATGAATGCAAAGTTTTTAGTTGTAAGCTGTGTTCCTGCCTATATACACAAGACTTCAATGCTGTAGCTACCGCTCTGCTGCTTGACGGGAACGGAGACAGAATCCTTGAAGCTCTGTAGGATTGTCTTGACTGCTTCCAATTCAGTGTAGAAGGACTCCTATGAAGAGAGGGAAAAAACAGGGAATAATGATTGCAAGTACTCGTATGTTAGCTCCCATACTGCCCCAAAATACTTGACCTTTCACTCCCTATAGTCTATCATGAGCCAATATGGCCCATCAGGCAGGCAACTGGTTTCCTTGGCACAAAATGACTGAGAATCTGTCCATTGCAGGTTACTCCCCAACTAATGCCAGTACGCATTTAAACTCTCCGCTGGAGAGAGGCAAGGGGGGACGAAGTGGCTTGCCCAAGGACACAACATATGGCCAGCAGCTGGATTGGAACCCCTGACTCTTAGATTGTGAGTCACGAACCCAAACCACTAGGCTACACACATCAGGAGTACACATAATGTAATACAATGTACAAAAATGTAATACAAGTGCTAAGGATCAACAAAGAATAGAAAACAGAAGAGTCATGACAATCTCGTCCCTTGTAAATACTGGCAAAAGGAAAATTAAGCAAATCAATGTTTAAAACCTGGTAATAAAACAAATATGTGATCTATTATGATTTTTTTCAAAGAACTTCCAAACTTTGGCAGTTGATGATGCTTTGGGAAATTTGATCCTATGGACAGATAAACAATTCAAAACTCCTCCCAGGAAATGTCGCAAACATGCAGAGAACTACGTCACCACAGAAATATAATATTCATGACGTTTAAATGAAGCCATAATGACACAGCCGTTTAAGAAAACAAGTACTTGTGGCCACAGACTGGTGAACAAGTCACAAGATTAAATTATTACAGCATCCATGACTATGATGACTACGTGAAAATGTTCATTTTTGGACAGCCCACAAGACAATGACTATTTGAATGAGAACATTTGTTTTGTTCATCTCACCTGCACTTGTACAGACTGCGCTAGTTCCGCTAGCAGTTCCCTTGCTTCATGAGACAGTAATAGCTGAGTGAAGTGAGCATCTAATAAAGCGCTTATCCAATCAGCAACCTGGAAATTAGGCAAACAACCAATCAAATTAAAGATATTTCTCGCGGTCATCTGATGCAAATAACACAGATATAAACATACCAATTTACTATCACATCATTGAATCACAATGCAACTTGCTTACGTCATTCATACATTATTATCTCGCTATGTGAACAATTGGGAAACTCAAATGCAACCATTATAATTCTTACTCCTATTTTTAAAGGATTTTAAAGAAGTGTAACATACTTGTATGCCACTTTCTTATAAAAATATGACTCGGCAATAAAATTGTGAGCAAAAGAAATATTTTACAGAATCCCATTAAAATAGATAAGTTTTCCAAGAACTGGCTTGACATGCTTAAACTGTAACAATGCAGACGTCCAATTAAAAATGTAAGATGTAAAGATGTAAAACGTGACTATATACCCATGTTGGGCTCAAGATCGTTCCAGCCCCACATACAAGTGGCAGTGCCGACAGAGCTTGATGTCCGTTGTTTTTTCCCCCAATTCTTACACCCACGTGATCAAGCCCACGTGCATGTAATTGGTGATGGGGGATTCCTGACTAATGCCCAATTAGGAACCTCTATCCCCAATTAGGAATTGGGTCAAATGGAATCCAGCATGTTACAACTACATTGATAATTGTTCACTTATGTACAGTAGTTAAAGGGAATGTACAACATTTGCTTTTGCTTCAATTTTCAGAAATAAATGGATTTGGGGGATTAGTATGTTATAGAAAATATTGTTAAACTGATTTGTTTCACGTTTTGGGCTTGTAGATGCTGGAAAAAGCAAGAAAACCTATCATGTTCTTGTAGTCTGGTTCCCTGACCCCACTAAGATGAAACAGAGCAATTAATACACTTTGAGGAATTGTAAGGTCAGAGAATCAGTCTAGCAGGCTTGTACCCCTTCAGGGGTGTGTAATCTATTGCAAAGAAAATTCAGAATAACTAAATATGAAAAATTAAGAACAGTTTTTGAAAAAAAGCCAGTTTTCTCCAACGCTGGTCGGCCGACCAGCGTTGGAAAAATACAGTTTTTCTTGAAAATGTCAGCACACCAGGAGCCACGATTTTACAGGATGCTTTAGACTGTCATTCCTAACAATCCAGTAGGTATTTCGTGATAATTTGATCATTTCATTTTTTGATGTTTGCAAATGTTGTATTTTCCCTTTAAAGGCATATATAGGATCATTTGCATTTATCTCAAAAGAAACCAACTGAATTATTATTAAAAACCCGACCCGGATTTTAGATCGTACTGGTATTAAACACTCTGTGAAATTATCTGACTTATACAAAATTAAGAAATGTAGGTGATTTCCAACGATCAGTCAATTGACTGTTTTTTGGAAATAAAGAGTGCTATGGGCAAAACCGTATTGTGTGATCAAAAGGTTGTGCATGGTTTTTCACTGTTTTCTCGAAAAGACACTTCTCTAAACTTTCCAATTTGCTTACTATATTAAGTGTTGGTATACAGTCATCCTGGTCACTGGCTGACGTGATGGAAAGGAGAAAGTGAAGATATCTCAGTAACACCTGAAAATGATCGACAAAAAATCACACAAATTGAGTTGTGATTTGTGGAAATTCATTCAATTAGTGAAAATGTCAGATTTTTGAGAACATATAAGTCCTCCTCCATTGCAACTATGGCCATGCCCAAATTATTGGCTACGGCTTGAAATTACACACAAGGCTATGGAAAGTGGCTGCAGCCGCTACCATAAACATTTGAACTGGCTTAGACCGTAACAACACAAACATCTAACAAATAAAATGTGACCATATCCATGTTGGACTCGAGATCTTTCCAGCCCCACATACAAGCGGCAGCGCTGATTGAGAGCTTGATGTCCGTTATTCTTTCGCCCAATTCTTACACCCACGTGATCAAGCACAAGTGCATGTAATTGGTGATGGGGGATTCTTGACAACTGCCCAATTAGGAATATGGGCAAAGTCCCAATTAGGAATTGGGTCAAATGTAAGCTTAACAACAGGAGCAAAGTTAAATAGGCTGGTCCCCTCACACACTATTCTATTCTGAAGGCTTTGATGCGATGAGGCGTGAACCAGTCTAAAAATGGTAAAATGCTCTCATATTTACCATTGCTTCGTCAAAGCTGAACTGTCTTAAATTATCGATGATAAAAGTATCGTTGAACGGACAACACAAGACCTTGTTACTGAGGCAACATGTTGAGGTATACAATTGTATTGAGACATTTAAACGTCATCGAAAACCATAGTTGAAATGTTGAGGAAGTATTCTCATACATGTATGTGATGCGATCAAGCTAAATGAGTCGATTGTCAGGAATTTTTATCTGGAGATACAGGCCAAAATAGAGCCACTTCATCACATCACTTCATCACATCTGTTGGTGTTCCGACTTCCATAACCTTTTTAACTAAAAATGGTACCAGCAGGCAGTTTTCACAGTAGTAATGCTGAGATTGTGCTCTTTTCAAATCTGTAATAAAAAAAATTACGACCAGGGTCGACAAACAACTCATTTGGGGCAAGTTCGCGCAAGGACTATAGTTAACCATTGGTCGACTAACGCTTGCCCGAACTCTGTCTAGTCAACGATGGTTAACTACGCTAGTCGACTATTTGGAACCAACCTACTGGGGTTGGTTGCTTCGCTGGTAACCATAGCCGCGCGCGTTCATAACGTACAGCAGGGAGTCAGGATCCAGACGTTTTGCAATGTCATTTTGACCAGCGTTCGACTAGAGACGTTCGCACTTTGCTATTAGTGCGCATGCGTAAGGTACGTCACAAATCAACCACTAGTCGACTAATGGTCCTTGCCCGAACTTGGCCTTAGCTTGATCGCATCACATATTTTGATTTCCACCTCATATAGAGTATCGAAGCGAATACATCACGCGCACAAAATGTGTGTGAAAGACATTAGTGCGTGATTCAGCCTGTGAACCAACACGGGCGCACACTCCATTCGTTTGCACTACACTTTCTGGTTCTACGTCACACTTCGGTACTCTATACACCAACTTATCATTTGTCAAGAAATTGAAGACAAGACTAAGCTTGCCTATTTAAGACATTATTTGTACTCGGCAATTCAGAAGGCAAAAATATTATAAAAATAGTGCTGTTTTAGTGAACATTTTTGTAGGTGTTTTCAAAGGATACACACATTGCGCACACACTGACGACACAGGACACGATGCAGGATGCAATGATGGAATTGATTCTGTCGATTCTGGATTCTCATTTGACGATATACCCTGAAAGTGCCTGCAAAATCCAAATGTAATTACCTCAGTACATCAGTGAATATCAGTTGGAGTAGTCTAGCCCTGTTTTGACCTGGACAATCCAGAATGCCATTATTTTTCACAATGTTGATTGTAAATGTGGGGGAAAAGGGAAGTTCGGGGGGGGGGAGGGTTGGCAGTGACTGTCCTGTTTTCATAAAGAGCAACGCCTTGTTTTGAATTTTGAGTTTTTCAAAATATGTGTATTTGTCAACATAAAAAAATACTTATATGTGACCTGTTCTGTCTAAAGCAGACGCTGGGCAGAGGTTGAAATGAAGATAGGGAAAAACAACACTATGGGGGTGATTCTTTTCGATTGTCTAATTTTTGCATATTTGTAATCTTGAACATGTCTAATATAATTTTGAAACCCTAATTTGAACTCTAAATATAGTATTTTTGATGATTTGTTAAGGTATATCAGTTAAAGAAATGTCACTTGAAACAGGTCTTAAAATAGACCCCAAACTTTAACAGCCATTTTCTCCGTTTCCTAGTTTTCGACACGATGAACTTCAAAATAGCATAACTCTGCCCAGGAATGACCGGTTTCAAAAATTAAACCACCTATTCAAAGGAAAATGTACATAATTTAACAATATGCAAAAATCTCATTTTTGACCTGATGCCCAGAAAAGTCTGATTTTGACAGAACAGGTCACATATGTCATGTGAGCTATTTACAATTTGACTTGTGACCTAACTTGTGATTTGTCTTGTGACCCAACTAATGATTATCTTGTGAACCGACTTGTGATTTGTCTTGTGATCGAACTTTTGATTTGTCTTTTGTACTGACTTATGATTTGTCTTGTGACCCAACTTGTGACATGACTTATGATTTGACTTGTGACTGGTTTGACGACACCTCTGGTTGATGATGAAGGAAACCACACCGTACCTGATGTAGAACAGCAAGACTTTAGTCAGTAGATAGTCTGGGATATCCTGCATGTGATCAACACAGCACCTGACGACGTCTATGTCTTTCATCCCAATGGCTGACTGCACAAATGACGAACATGAGCTGAAGAAAAAAAATTGTAACAAGGCGTGGTCAGACTATACGGCCTCCTAAAACTCAAAATTCATCACAAACAATGTTGAGAGACTGTTTGAGGCATGATGATGGTCTAAATCTCTACATTTCTGGTGTTACAACTAAAAAGCTTGGAATTTGGAAAGTAAAAATACAAACAATGAAGAATTTCTCAACCATGTTTACGGTAGAGATGAGTTGAGAGGTAGGTTGCAGTGCTATCGGGTTTTAAAAGTAACATCAGTTTTGCCCTTCACTGAGCACTATATTTTCACTGTTGTCCAAAGGCTTGCGAAAAAAATTAACAAGCTTACTCGAGGGGAACTCGCACCCACGACCTGCTACATTGTACGTAGTGCTGACAACTAAATCACTCCACCACTGAGCTTGCCGGGGAACCTGGACAGTTCAAATTTGATTTAGCATGGGCCGCTGCAATTACTTCTTTTTATTTTATTTATTCATTTGGCTATTCAGCAAAAGTCATTTTACTCCTTTCCAGTGGGGTTTATTGGTAGATGAGGTAGGTAACTACAGTTTTAGAGGTGGGAGGAAAACCCTGGAATGACATCAAAAGGAAACCCATAGAAACAATTACACATGAACAGACTGAAAACCTAATCAACAAGCTGGTTGAGGGCAGATTCAAACTCTGGTCATGGAGGGGGAAAGCAAGGAAATCACCGCTATACCAATACACTGAACCTCCTAAAATGGTCTATCAAATTCAGAGTTTAAGATTTTAATGGATCTCAGGTCCATCTGGATCTAGGTTGCACCTACCTGGCAGCCACATTGCACTCTTCGATGATCTTAAGCAGCGACTTCTTGGGCCAGAGCTGCTTCTGTGTTTTGTCGTTGCTTCGTTCAGCGACACTGTTCAGAATGAGACTGCCCAGTGATGTCCTCGATGATGGATCTAAAGCAGTTGGGGATTTCTCTAAGAAAACCTTGCACGCTTTGTTGAACTGCAGAACTGTTTTTACCTGAAATATACACAATGAAAAAAAAAAAGAATTCTGGAACAATTGCTAGAGTTGAAATGTGTTCAACTTCTGCAAATTCATTGCGTTAAAGGTACAGTCCATCATTTGTAATTTGTGCATTTTGTTCGTTTGAAGCAACAAAAGTCCTCAAAATCTGAAGAAGGGTGCTGAACAACTAACCTGATGAAGTTTCAGCTCAGCTTCAGCTGTATATTCCGAGGAAACAGCATTCTATGATCTTGATTTAAAATCAAAAGTTGCTGAATCATATTTTGAATTGGGCCTGAATTCAGCGTCCGAGACAGGTTCTCACTGAGCCGATTGCAGCTACGCGATGTCGCGCACTGATCCGACGAATTATAGCAACCAGGCGCGCGTGTGCGTCGTGTCAACGCTTGCGCGCACTTTGCCGAAAAAAAACAACAACTAATAACGGAAAGTTCCAACGCTGGGTCTTAAGACGCACCGTTGGAAAGGCCTTCTTTCGTTGATTTCTTCAAAATGACAGCTTGCAAGAAGAATAATTTCACCGGGAGTTTAGTCCCCTTACTATCTTTCAACCAAGCATGTTTTTCAACAATAATTATGTCAGTTACTTTTTGGATAGCTGTAAATGATGGACTGTAGCTTTAATACTAGCTGTGACTTGACAAATTTGCAATGGTGTTTTATCTTCCACGACAAATAAGAACTGGCCCTATAGTGGAAACCTTGTTCTGAGCATTACTTGTTTAGGTTCAGTAAATTATTGGGCCGACTTTTGGGCCGACGTTTTAGTAAATAAAGTGATAATTGTACCTTGGCAGGGTTCAGTATTTCTTCTACTATCTTTTCCACGTCATCTGTTTGCAAGGCTGACCCATCCTGTCAATAAACACAATGAATCGCATCAAACGCTAACAAAATCTGTCAAACATTGGTAAAGTACACCTGAATGTAGCTTACCTGTATGAACCCATGAAAACTATCAAAAACATGAAAACTGGGTGTTACCATTTTTTTCAGAGTGAGGGTACAAACATGTATACAGTAAGTTTCAAATTTGGCAGTCATATTTTTAATATAGACATCATGTGGAAAGGGGTAAAGTTGATATTTTTGGGGTTATTGTTTACGTCAACATGACACACACAACACACAAAATTTGAGTTTTTATGATGTTTATGTGACGTCCCAACTAGACAAGTCCCAACTAAAGATGGGTCCAACCAAACTAAAAATGGGCCCATCCCAACTAGAGTTGGGCCCGTCCCAACTAAAGATGTGCCCGTCCCAACTACAGATGGGCCCGTCCCAACTACAGATGGGCCCGTCCCAACTCAAGTGTTCCAAATGGAACACATAAGTATGGACGGTCCCAGCTTAAGTTGGGACCCAGGTCTAGTTGGGGCACAGCATTTAGACGCACCTTTGTTTTGGACTTTGCGGCCCAGTCAACCATGACTGGAATTCCTGATGGTTTACTGAGGCATGCTGAACTCTCTCTGCCTAACAATGCTGCAAGACTGGTTGCTTCATCAGCTGGTGTGGACATGTTGGGCCTGAAATTAATGATAAAACATGTAAAAAGGGACAAAAAATGGAAAATAAATACAGTGTAATCTGCATTCCTCCTGTCCTCAACTATTCCTTCCAGCATTTTTGAAAGGAGAAAAATAAAAACAGAAAAGAAAAAGAAATGTACATGAACACGTGTGGCAAACTGTTAACATGATTAATACCATACTAAATTGTTGAATCTGGTGTGCGCACAAGCAGTTAAAAATAAATGAAATATCAAAAACGCTTGATGGCCGATCGACTGTCATGACCGTTCACGCAATATTCTTAAGTAAAAGGGTGTTCGTTAAAAAAGGGCGTTCATGAACAAGGGCATTTGTAATGTTACAAATACAATGAAAAAGGGCACTTGATCGTTAAAATAAATACAAAATACATTGTATTGGGGGGGGGGGGGGAGAAATACCCCCTTAACTCCCGCTTGAGCACGGACATGACGGATGGATAGCTGTGTTTTTATTTCGCGGACTGTGCATGGAGGTCATGGAGGTCATGGAGGTAGAATTTAAATAATACTAGGAATAGGATGTGTCGGCAAATTTATTGTCACAATCCCCCCCCCCCCACACCACAGGCACAGGCATGACTAGCTGGAGTTACCCAGATTTTATCATTGGGTTGTCTCCTAGAGATGACAACCCAATGATAAAATTCAGGGCTGGGTAACTCCAGCTAAGGCCGTGTCCGAAACGGGCTTCTTCCAGAGCTACGGCTACGTCTATTGTCAGCGCGTCTCCGCGTATTTATAATGGAGCGAAGACCTATAGTACCTAGCCCCATAAATGTGGCCTGTTTACTGGACTGCCTCCGTAAACATAGGCCACACATCCACATGTACAAAAACGTGTCGACTTTGCCAAATTTTGATTTTCACATTTAGGCTTAGTTTGTAAGGGTTTTTTTGCTTTAGAAGCATACTCACCCTCTTTATAGGCTAATCAGAAAGTGCTGCCTTTTTCAGATGTATATTTTTCGTGAAATTTCCAGATTCATTTTTACACGTTTGCGTATCAAAATTTCAACATGAAATTTCACAAAAATTAGACATCTGAAAAAGGCAGCACTTTCTGATTAGCCTATAAAGAGGGTGAGTGTGCTTCTAAAGCAAAAAATCCTACAAACTAAGCCTAAATGTGAAAATCAAAATTTGGCAAAGTCGACACGTTTTTGTACATGTGGATGTGTGGCCTATGTTTACGGAGGCAGTCCAGTAAATAGGCCACATTAGTACCTAGCTCTAGACAACAGATTCGGATGCAGCCTTAGGCAAGACAGGATTTATGCATGGCCTATAATGAAATATGATGGTATTCACGACAACCCCTCCTACATTCCAGCAAACTTTCAATCTTCGTATTTACCTGAATTGAAATGTACTCATCGTAGTATTCGTAGCTGTCTCGTCGATCTCCATGATCTTCTTACCGTCGTACACATATATCGCGTATCGGCCTACGTGCCAATTTACACAAACACCACGTGCACGATCGTGCACGACGTGACCGAATAGCGCCCTCTATTGTATAAAACAGTCTTATTTACTTTATGTTTTTTGGTTAATAAACAGAAGGCAGAGGCCTAGGTCGACGTGGCTCGTAGTTTTTGGCTCTCCGGAAAGCGATATTTCTTCTGCAAAGATCTCCTGTTTGTTATTGAGTGATACGTTACCTCACATTACTGGAGAAGGGTAAGCATTTTGGCGTGAATGAGGTCTGGAGGGTTTGCAATGATGGGAAAAAATTGCGACTGTCTCTGCAGACTAGTCTCGAAAATGCGGGACTCTCATTGCATGCATTGTGCATAATGTTGTGCATGTTGTACGTGGCTGTGCTGTGTTCAATGTGTTTGTTGTTGACTTCTTGACCCCAACTAGTGAGTGGTTCGATGGGGGGGGGGGGGGGAGGAATATGTGTGGAGGTATATAAAGAAATTTGGCGATCGTGTAGTGTAGGGCCCCTGTTTTGGTTCGATTAAGTGAGAGTCAAGAGTGATTTTTATTTATTATTCAAAAATGACATTTTCAACCTAGCTAAAGCAGACTTCTCTCAATATTATAAGGCGAAGTAAAAAAAAAAACATGTTTAGCGTCCCCGCCCACTTCCTTTTTAGAGGCCGCCTCCTTTTTTTTTTTTTTTTTTTTTTTTTTTTAAACGCAGTGGCTATTGTTACGGCAGCCGTAACGCATTTCCCATTTTCTATCGTTACGGTAGACTGCAACCTGGCAACTTTTATAAAAAACATGACAAGAAAATATAAAATTAGAAGGAAAAAAGTGAATTTGAACTTTATGAAATTCGGACTTTATTTCCCTTTAAAAAAAAATCCTCCAAAGCCTCAGGTTAGAAAAGGAAAAAAATTCGAGTGCAAAACTGAGATTCGAACTCGCAACCTCGCGGTGCAAAATCCTACTCTCTATCGGCTGAGCTGGCGCACTGCTCGACAAAACGTGTGGAAACAAATAATTATATACCTGCGTGCGTATCAAAAAAATATCGTAGAGGGCGCTAAACAACGAGTGCCGTAACGATAGCCACTTCGTTTTTTAAAAGACAAAAATTGATAAATTTTAACGATCTCTGACGAAAGAAATCGTATTTTTAGACTTTTATACCGTGTTTAAAGCTGTGGAAATAGTCAATGAGTCCAAGTGGCGGCCATTTTGAAAAAAAGCTGGTAACCATCTTGAAAAATAGCCCGGCCGCGTTGTCTTGAAAAATGTGTCGGGCGGCCATTTTGAAAAGAAAAGAAAAAAAAAAGGGCCTCCTCCTTCCTTTTTGTCAAAGAGGCAGGACGCTAAACATGTTTTTTTTTTTATTTTGCCTAATGACATCATTTTTGTAAATTTTGAACAGTTTTGGGGGTAGAAATTACGATTTTCCTACCCGGTTTACAGTCGGTGCCGTGCGATTCAGCACGCCTTGCGCGCTCACGGTACATCTCGCAGTGTAACCATTTTTATTTTCGTGTTGCGTTTTGTCGTCATCGTCATTTTACCCCGAATTTCCCTCACAAAATCAAAACCCTACCCTTTATCTATGACGTACCTGTATGTTCTTAGTGTCGCCAAATAGTTTGGTAGGTCAAATAATTTAAAAGTGGAATTTGTTCCCTTATAGGAACTGGGCCCGTATATAGGCCTATACACGATGTGACGAGATGCCAGAAATATATAGCTATGAAAAAATAAGAAATTTAGATTTTGGTTGTTCTTACATATAGTTTTCAATTACAGGCATAAACTATAGCCTCATAAATGTGGCCAATTTACTGGACTATATACATACTGTACCTCCATAAGTAAAGGCCACTTGGAACATGTACCCAAAAATGTAGAATTTTGTCAAGTTTTGACTTTAATATTTAGACTTTAGTTTGTACTTTATTAATAAATGCTTTATGAGCACAATCACTCTCTTAAAGTCTTATACTTATTATAGACATGATAGAGATAGAAAAGAAGTTCAGCATTTTTCAGACGTCTTTTTTTTTTGGTGTTATTTCATGTTGGAATTGAGATACGCAGACGTGTGCAAACAAACGTTGGAATTACAAGGCGCACGTGGTAACCCGAACACGAAAAAAGACTACACGAGTGTTTTTTTTTTCCTTCGTGTCCGGGTTTACCACGCGCACCTTGAATCAAGTCTACGTGCCTGACAGCAGAAATGATCCAGCACGCACGTGATCTTTTTGATGTTGGAATTTAGATACGCAAACGTTAGCGATATTGCTGCGCTGTAGCTCAGAGATACAGTGCAGCAATTTATCGCAGCCACACTAGTGGGGCTACGCAAACGTCTGCGCAATCAAACTTGGAAATTACACAAAAAATAAACGTTTGAGAAAGGCGGGACTTCTTATCTATTGCTATAAAGAGGGTGAGTGTACTTCTAAGTTCTAAAGTGTAAATAAACTACAAACAGAGTCTAAAAAGTAAATGTGAAGAAATGTGTGCATACAATACACCCATGGTATGCCTTTATTTGACCCCTGTATAGTGCATACACTTACATACACGTAGCACAATGTAGGTATGATGTGTGCATGGCACCTGCATATGTACAGGTGTAGTATGTAAAAATTGGCTCCTTCCATAAAAACTACTGATCCGAAAAGCCAACTAAAAGATGCTTTTCAACAAACGTTTTCTTTTCAAGCTCACAGTGCTCAGAAGCTGAGAAAAATTAAATTTGAGCCTGAATGGAATTTTACCACTGTTGTTTGTTAACTAATAATTTATTTTACATGGCTTTAAACTAGCATGAAATATATGATAATTAATGAGCAAGTGGCTATTGTGACACGTTCTTTCTGTGATTGTATGTCTGACATTTTTGTTGTCTCTCTCCCCCCCCCCCCCCCCCCCCCCGCCCCCTGCAAACACTAACTCACCATGAATAAAGTACATTCAAGTATGGGCTTTCACAAAGCCAGGCATTGTGGGTACAAATTGCCATTCATATGAGCACCATGTCCCTGTCCATGAACATGCCTTGGAAATGCGGACCTCCCAGCCAGACGGAATTGTGGGGTGATAGCATTGTGTTCCTTTTATCCCTTTTTCTAAAGATCCTCTTCTGGGGTGATGTTTTTCTATTGTTAAAATTGTGGGGTGATGTGTTCCTAGAGGAACATCACCCCACAAGTAGGGTATGGTCAGAGCAGAAGAATTGACCTGGGGTTACTGGGTAGACAAAATGTTTTCAATGAAAACTGGGGGGACATCACCATACATGTACATTGTGTACAACGTGTACAGCATTTTGGTCTCTGAGCTTTATACCTACATGTATGGCCCTGACCATGCTGACTGACTGCAAACTGTTGAATGGGATGGTACCAGACTATGGGTTCCAAGCCTCACCTTCAATTCCTTTTAACATGTTTAATGTGTCTTAAAACATTAGGGTATTATACATGTACATGTATGTTTAATCACAAATTTCAAATTATTCATCAGAGCAGACTGGTATTAATTTGTAATTAACTTTCTGTGTTGTTGCTTTCATTTCTAATCTAGCAACATTTGACAAGACATCATCTTGAGTGAATACAACCTGTTTTGCTGGTTCTCCGTGCAAGTCTGATTGAAATAACACCCATGGACAATTTGTGGCCGAGTACACACAGTATTCACTCAAATCGTGTGCCTGATATGGACATATTTGGAGTCAGCTCACCTCAGAATCTAAAAGACGGTCTGATACCCATACTGGTTGCTGAGGTTTTCTGAGTGCTGTAGTTGGGTTACCAGACGCTAGTCAGGATGCCGTATACTGAGATCCACCATGATATTCATGAGTTGCACACCCATCGTGCAGGACGGTGGTATTTTGGTGGGCTGGCCTCGGCTACAGCTTGCTGCTTCACTCATCCTCTAGATCTTATCAAGGTCAGTTTGTATTTTTCTTGTAATCGACTTTTCAGCATCGTTTAGACTAAAGAGATAACAATTTAAAGCGTTCCCCTATACATTGTATTTCTTAATTTTTTTAAAATACCTCAGAATATTGCTTGAAGGAGAACAAAAGATTGTTCGTGTTTGCCAAGCCCCTAACAGCCTAATCCTAAAAAAAAGACAAACCCATGAGACTTTACTAGTTTACACGGGGTCAGGCATACCACCATAGTCAGAGCTCAGCAGTTTGGGTATGGTGAACATTGGATTTTGCAAGAGTGAGGAAGGTTCCTAGTAAATCACTCAAGGGGGTTTGTGTTAAATGCGAATCAACTTAGCCATCCAAAGTCACTCCATGTTTTATGTACAGATTTATGACCCAAAAAAATGGTAAGTCATCCGACTTCCTCTTTCCTGTATGCATTTCCTGATTTGTAAACTGTGAATAATCAAGTCTTACATTTATGTTATTTGTGCCTTTAGGAAGAAAACATAAAAAATGCACATTACATGTACATTCCTTTCACATTTTATTAATTCTTGTCTTTTATTCATTGATCGACAAGAATAGACCAAAAAACCTCAAACGTCTTCAACATGAAAATGAATCACGAGAGACAACCTAAAGTTTAATAATAATATCATCCGCACATTTTAAGGAGTGAAATGTTATGCATTATGCTCAAGTTCATCTGCACATTTTAAGGAGTCAAATAATCAGGGCATACATTTGGAGCATAACATGTTAGGGTTAAAATACTGACCTTAACCCCAACTCTTAATCCTCCAGGTAGTTTTGGGGGATTTTGGAGAATTTGAGGCTGAATGGTAAAAAACTGTTGGTTGATTTTGGGGGATGCTTTGTGTCAAGTTCGTAGGCTGTACCCAGCATTGTGTACATGTATGTTCAGTCGTGCATAATTGAGCCCTGCATTATGCTCAATATCATCCGCACTACTTCTGAATGTCATCGGTACTGCCTCAACCCATTCCATGATTGTTGGAGGATTTTTAAGGATTGAGGCAATGCATGGTCACCCCTCCACTGAACAAAGTCAAGAGATAACGGATGATTTTGGAGGATTGAGACTGCATCCAATGTTTACATGGTGGCAGGATTGCAGGATTGAGGATGGTTCCTAGCCAAAAGGGCCGAGGGGGTTGGGGCTAATTAGTCGACGAGTTAATCGTTATTTCTGATCACTTTTGTTCTGTGTGTAGGTTCACTTGCAGACTCAGCAGAGAGTGAAGTACAAGGCCAGTGGAATGGCAGTGCACATTTACCGCACCCAGGGAGGCTTAGCTCTGTACAATGGGCTCAGTGCATCCATTTGCAGACAGGTACATTGTATGGTCTCACTCCCTATGTATTTATTTATTGACTTATTTTGTTTTGAAAAACTCCAATCCCAACCTAGTCCATGGAATATCCCCTTGCACAGCAACAGACTGCATCTTGACCTTGAGATTCTGACCACATAGCTTGTGCCTTGTATCGGGTTTTCCATAACCATGATAACCGTAGTTGTATTACAAAAACATAGCAGCCCAATTGACCAATCAACAGCTTACTCCACCATGTCCACATTTCTGATTGTCACAATTTTTAAAGTTGACTCCTTTTTTTTATGGGTTTTTTTTTTTTTTTATTAATATAATAAACAAATTTAAAATTTGATTGGAGACAAAATAAAAATTTTGTTGACGAGTACGGGAGAGCAGCTTGGAATTTCAATTAAGATGAGCTACTCATTGACGAGATTTTGTTAATGTTATGAGACGGTTGATTTCTGAGTTTTGTTGTTTCTTGTTCTTACCCCAGATGAGCTACTCCTTGACGAGGTTTGGTTTATATGAGACAATCAAAGGCTGGATGACAGCTGATGATCCCTCCACACCTCTGCCGTTCTATCAGAAGGTCATGATTGCAGCTGGGGCAGGCAAGTGCAAGACTCCTGCTGGGCAATTCCACGGTTACTCACGTAACATTTTTGATGTACTTTTGAGTTTCCTTGGGCTGTAATTACCTTAGATAGAGTAGACCTAGACCTACCTAAGCACCAAAGATGACATCCAGAAAAATGTGTTATATATGATAAACAAGACGCACAAAATCGGTTACTCACGTTACGAAAATGTAACGTGAGTATCCCATTTTATGCGTCTTGTTTATCATACATAACACATTTTTCTTGATGTCATCTTTGGTGCTTAGGTAGGTCTAGGTCTACATGTACTCTATCTACCATGGGGATAACAGTTATTAAACATTTTCAGTAAGGTAATAACAGCCCAAGGAAACTCAAAAGTACATCAAAAATGTAACGTGAGTAACCGTGGAATTGCCCTGCTAATCTATTCCAATTGATTTACCTGAAAATGTATACCTGCCAATTAAATGAGTACCAAATACCCTATGAAATTATTCCGCCTGAAATGGTATGGTTCAGAAGCAAACACTAATTGAAGGGGGCTTAGAAAATATGCCAGTGGGCACAGTTTTTTTTAACATGTGTTAGCAACGGAATTCAGTTACGAAACCCAAAAATTGTGCATACATTTTCTTTGTTTTCTCCAAACATGCCAAATGTATAGAATGCACTGAGCTTGATATTCAACGAGTTTGTTATTATGCACTCTCTTAAGATTCTGAGCAATTTTGTTAGCTTCAGAAGAAAAATAATGCACTAATGTTTCCAAGGCCAAACAATTCTACCTCATCCAACAGCTGGTTAGACCTGTTAGAAGGAACAGAATTCAACTTTTTCAACAAACAAAAAGTTTGGAGCTTTATATTGACATGTGCACCCCATTGTAAAACAACATTTCTTAGTGAATTATCACAGCTCATTCATTGGAAACCTGCATGCTTCCATGATGCAAATTTAAAAAAAAACACTAAAATTTTAATTATTTCTCACTTATGGAAATATTAGGCCTACATGTAGTTGGTGTGCAACTTTTAGTGTCAAAACTTCAGTCTTCACAAACTATAGGGCCTAGTAGTATTTTATTTTTAAAAATTACTACAATACCTGTTATGAGCTAGATCATGGCCATTGTTAGTACATTGAGACATCACACCATTTATAAAGTGTATTAAAATAGCATTAATGATATTCCATTGTTCATGGCTATCATGGCCATTTTTTTAGTACATTGAGACATCACACCATTTATACATTGTACAGTGTATTAAAAATAGCATTACAACAGCTTTAAATAACAAACTACATGTACCATCTAATTGAATTATGTCTATAAGTGGAAAACATATTTGAACAAAAACTTGGTCTCAAAGTACAATTTAAAAGTTAATAAATGTCACACGATAAACTATAAATAATTATAAACATTGAGATAGCGTTATCAGACCGAGATAAAATTGTCTGTTTGAGAAAATCGCACCATTTGTTGGTGGCCTCAGGTGTTTACTTCAGTAAAGTAAACTAGTCACCCCATCAAAATCTACATGCATAAGTTCAGGGGGTTTTTTTTGGGGGGGGGGGGGGGGGTTTCAGCTTCCAAAAATCTGTAGAGGGAAAGGGGATAAGTACATGTAGCATCGATTTTTGTAAGCAGATGCTTCACTGCCTTTCTGGTTTAATTACCAACAAAGAATTTAAAACAAATGGACAGTTGTTGCGGGGTGGGGGGGGGGGGCATATTCCATTACTTTCCGTCTGGCTTGATACTCATCTAAAAGTTTTTAAGTACAAGGCCATGAAGGAATGTGGAGGAGTTTTGGGATGATGCAGGAAGATTCCTGGGGAAAAAACAAGGAAGTTAGGTTAAGAGAAATGGACGTTGTGTTCATGCCGAGTGTTGGACTTTGTACTGGTACATTTATAAAGGTTTTCTTCTTTCAGCCCTGCATGTTTGTGTGCACCCCCATGTTAATGTATGTACCTCTGTCATTTCTGTTTTAGCCTCTGAAGAAGAACTTGCTAAGTTCGCAACGTCAGGCCACATTAATTTTAAGATTTATAAAGGTTTTAGCAAATTAGGCAGTTAGGCTGAAAAAAAAGTGCCAACACATATTATAGTGTCAATTTATCAAGGAACTCGGCACAGGCCCTGGTGGCGAAAAATGCACACACAAAAAAGGAAGTGGGTGATTTGTTTTCTTTTTTCTCAGATTTATTGATATAGGTAATCTTTGATATGTCTACTACACAACTTTTAAATCATTAGTATAAAATTCGTGGCATAAAAGTGTTTATCAAGAAAATTGATTGGTATCTTTCATTTTTCTCGGCTTCAAAACAGTTGAAACCTAAAGGCCCTTTTCTCAATATTTAACTTTTTTGTCAACGGAATGTCCGATTGAATTGCCATCAATACTATTGTGAGGAGGATTTTATTCTCTTTTCTAATACCCTGCAAACCCTCATTTCAAGTTCTGCCCAGTTCTGTCTCATTTTGCCAGAACGCCTCACAATTATAAAATTGCTAATAATACAACACATTCTTTATCTGATATTATTTTCCAAAACAGGAGCGTGCGGTGGTCTTGTCGGTGCGCCAGCAGACATGATCAACGTTAGAATGCAGAACGACATCAAGCTAGCAGCAGACAAACGAAGGAAGTAAAGTATCAAGCAGACGCATTTTTGACTGGACAAAGAAAAGAGACTTCAGTTGGATTAGAGCCCCCGTCCTTCTAAATACTGTACTGGTGCTCAACTAACTGAGCTGTCCAGCCCTTTGGATTCTGACTTTTGGATAAAAAAAAGGGGAAAAAAGAGGCATGTTCCAATCATTAGACATGCAAGACAGGGTTGGATAGCTTAGTTGGTAGAGCACCAGTATATTGTTACAGAGGTAGCAGGTTCTATTCCTGCCTAAGCGAATTTTCTTTGTTCAACCAAAAATGGAGGAAGTAACGACAGACCTTCTGTAAAATAACCTTTGGGGTTTCGTCACTCTTAATGGACCATGAGGGGTAGGGATGTTATAAAGGGGTCATCGTGGGAGTGGCCTCTTGATGGAACATAAGGGGCGTGGCCAGGGTTAATGAATTATGAGGCATGTTGCTACTAATGCCACTAATTATGAGGGGTGTGGCCACTGTTGGTACGGTAGATTATAAGGGGTTTGGCCTCAGTTGATGGACCATAAGGACTGAATGGACAGTGCAGCCTCTGTGGTGGACCATAAGGGGTGTAGCCTGTGGATCATAGGGGTGTGGCCTCTGTTGATGACTTCCAAAACTCGTCTTATCTTGCGACTTATCTTTGGACTTAAGACGAGTGCCCTCTCTAAGATCAAACTTGGCTAAGATGTTTCCTAAGGCTGATTTAAGGACGAGTCAGGAGTTAAGACGAGTTACCCTATCGTTTCATGAAATAAGAACTTAGGCCTCTGTTGATAGATCATATGGGGTGTGGCCTCTTTTGATGGACCGTAATGGACATGTCCTCTGTTGATTAACAATAAGGGGTTTGGCCTCTGTTGATAGATCATAAGGGGCGTGGCCGATGTTGATGGACTATACAGGGCGTGGCCACTCTTGATAGATCGTAAGGGGTGTGGCCTCTATTGATAGACCGTAAAGGGCATGGCCAATGTTGGTTGATCATAAGGGGCATGGCATCTGTCGATGGACCATATGGGGCGTGGCCACTGTTGATGGACCATACGGGGCGCGGCCACTGTTGGTAGATCATAAGGGGTGTGGCCTCTATTGATGGACCGTAAAGGGCATGGCCACTGTTGGTTGATCATAAGGGGCATGGCATGGATCGATGGACCATATGGGGCATGGCCACTGTTGATAGATCATAAGGGGCGTGGCCTCTGTTGGTAGATCATTAGGGATGTGGCCCAATTTGATGGACCATATTGGGTGTGACTTCTCCTGTTGACCTTTTGATGAACCATGAGGCAACACTATCTAAATAAATAGTAGCCGTGCATGCAACAATTGTAGTTTTCTGTTCATGTGTTGCCTGTATATTCAGCTGTGCTATATGTACATGTACATAATACAAAATGCCGTTTGTTTGTCTGTAGCTACAAGCATGCATTTGATGGGCTGTGGAAAGTCTATCGATATGGTGAGTATCCGGCCCCCTCTGGGTTTTTTTTTTAGCCAAGTGTGAAATTGACCTTAATAGAAAGATTTGATTTTGTTCAAATTTCAATAATTCCTCTCATTCACTATTTTCAGTCAAATCATTGTAGATAGCAGCTGTACACATTTGACATTTAGTTTGACTAGTAGAGCAAATTTTGGCAGTGGTAAATGAAGTCGTTGGAGTTTTTTTGATGCAGAAAATGTTAATTTTCAACTTTGACGGCTCACTGTGAGTGAGTCGGCCATCTGGCAAAAAGCAGCAAATGACTCAGGAACTTTGTTTGGCTTTGTCGCGAATTTTTGTGAATTGTCAGTGGCAAACAGTCAGTCACGATTGTGTGAACGTTGAATATTGGCAAACATTTGCATTGCTTACGTAAGTAGAATTCACCCCTGCGAAAATATCTTACTTTGATTCACCTCAGCTTATTTACATATATGTTGCATCTGTGTGTTTTAACTACATGTATAGACCTTTTCAAAAAAAAATCAAACAGATCATAGGCCGGAATGGAAGCACATTAACATGTATTGATTCAGCCCCATCTATATGTGTATAGTGGTCTACATAATTGGAGCAGATGTTAAATTAAAGGTCGGTATACAGTACATGCATAATCCTGTGTGTGCGGTTAAAGCGAATGCTGTACTCACAGTACAGCATTTGTCTCCTTTGTGTATGTACACATTGTACATGCACAGGGTTAGAAAACACAAATGTTCCTTTGGATACGTTCTTGTCTCCCACAAAAACGGGAAAGGTTACTAAATTTTTCTCCTTTTCACTAACGTTAAAGAAAGCCCTGTATCCTTTTCATGCATAGCTGAATATCAGTGAAACCTTCACAGACTCTGGTCAATACCCAAACCGAATGTTAGCCGAAGAGAAACAGTTTATAACCTTTTTCAAATGTGTTGGAGACAATCGTATCCAAAGGGACATTTTTTTTACTCGCCCTGTATATCGACATAACAGTTAGGAATAACTTTACCAGTCAACTACATGTACATTCACAATGTCGTCATATCACATGATATTGACTCTGTGTAGGAACTATTGGTGGCGCTGTTTGACCTCCAAGAGGAATTGTTTTCCATACCGGTACCTTCTGTGGACACTCCTTTATTCTTGTGCAGTTAAAGGGAATATACATCATTTGCTTTTGTTGTAATTTTCAGAAATGGATGGAATTGAGAGGTTGGAAATATATAGCAAATATAGTTACACTGACTTTTTTGAGGTTTTGGGTTCGAAAATGCTATAAAAACCAAGAAAAACAATCATTTTCCTGTAGTCTGGTTCCCTGACTCCATATAAGAAGAAACAGAGCAGTTTACATACATTGGGGAATTGTAAGGTCAGGGAACCAGTCTAGCTGGCTCGTACCCGTTCATAGGTTTGTAATCGATTGAAAACAAGTGCGATGGTCAATTGGGGCCAGTATTTGAAAAAAAGCCAGTTTTTTCCCAACGCTGATCGGCCGATCAGCGTTGGAAATTGATACAAAAATACCACTTTTCTTGAAAATGACAGTATACCAGGTGCTTTACACTGTCATTCACTAACAGTCCAGCAAGGTATTTCAAAATGATTTGGTAGTTTTATTTTTTGATGTTTGCAAATGTTGTATTTTCCCTTTAAGAGAAAACAGGTCTCAGAACATTGCCGCATGCACTGTAAACACTCTTTGAAACTGAATTCTTGAAAGTGATTTCCTTGGATCTTCTACTTCATTGTGCGATGATAACCTTAACCTCAAAATGCCTCGAACATTGTTTTTGTTTCAGAAAGTGGAATGTAACGTGGACCTGAACGAGTCCACAGAATGTCCTAATCTTCATCACTGTGTGGACACCATTGTTCCCAGGTCCACACAATGACTGCAGTACTATGTACAGATATAAACTTTTTTTATTGAATATGACAAACCCATTACCTACCTGGACGTTGCTATTCGCATGAAGTTTGGCTCACAAGAAAATAGTGCAAATGCCTTTCTGTATCCTGAATAATAGGTTTAAACCCATTCCATAATATTCCATTGTGTAAGGCTTGCCCTGAATTATGTGGCAGTGGCATGTTTAGTTTGAAAAACTGACATTTAAGCACGATGACAGAAATTTGAAACCTTCATTAACTTGTGCTTGCATTTCTTATTTCTCAACAATCTGTGGCCAGCTTTACCACGTTGTTTCTCCTTTAATTTTCCGTCCCTAAGAGGGTTTCAGAAACTTGTTCAATGGAGCGTCGATGGCTACAGTAAGAGCCATCCTCATGACGGTGGGCCAGGTATATCTTTTCACGATATTTGTTTTCTATTTTGTATTGCAAGGTTGAATTATAAATAGCATGTAAATGTGGACTTTGTCCAATTTATTGTCCAGGTGTATTTACATGGACCAATTCTGTGTACACTTTAAGTACCAAACACACAAATACAGTCGAGTCTCGTTGTAACAAACTTGTTCGGACCTAGCCAAATTGTTTGTTATATCAGAATTTTTTATTAAGAGGACATCAGTCCCATTCATTGTGCACATAAATGCACAGTCGGGACCAAGGCTTTATGTTTGTTATAATCAGAATTTTGTATTAACAGAGTTTGTACTAACGAGAGTCGACCGTACAAATAAGCTTAGCACAGAAATATCTCCAAAGCAAAACAGTCATCTTGCAGTCATGCTGTTTGGGATGGCTGCTCAGTTCTTTTATTGATAAGCAAGATTTTCAGCTTTAGTGCTTCTTTAAATACAGCCTTTGGTTTTCTAAATGATATAACTTGGCCTAAAGCTCCTTATATTTAGTGTCCATGAAAGTTTACTAGTTTATTTCGCTGGTGACAGAGTCAGGAGTTTCCCTTAATACACTGGATTCCCACCAGTCATCAATGTATTGAGAATTTATTTGTTGATCAGCTGTCAGTTCTCCTAATCACACCTGTCGTCAGTGTATTGAGAATTTATTTACTGGTGCGTTCTTTTCAGCTGTCCCTGTATGACCAGTTCAAGCAAACTCTCCTAACTACCTCCTTCTTCAACGATAACATCATCACGCATTTCACAGCAAGCATTATGGCTGTGAGTACAGATTTTCTCTGCCTTTTTCCCTCTTCATTGTTGCCTTTTGTAACTTGGGATCTTCAAAGCCCTTCTACATATAGGATCGAAGGGTTTACGATTGCTTGTGGACTCGGGATCAAATCGATAATATTAATAATCGTGCTTATATAGCGCTTTCTATCGTATCAACAATCTCAAAGCGCTTTACAATTATTACCCCATTCATCAGTCCATGGGACCACGCGGCAGCCGATATCAGTGCTCAATCGGTCTTCGACCCTCACAGGTACCCATTTATACTCCTGGGTGGAGCGAGGCAATTGTAGTTAAGTGTCTTGCCCAAGGGCACAAACACCATGTTCCTGGCAGGGTTCGAACCCACGCACCTTCGTACATGAGTCAAGCGCCGTAACCACTGGACCATGGCGTTGGACCCCTGTTGGCAGCCAGTTCCAAATCCCCAAGAATATTATGCCAGAAACTTCAACACCAGATTTTATGTGGTAAATGATGTCTTAAACAGAAATTTAATCTCCTAATGATCTTGTATTGATTCAATACAGTGCTTCACCAGTGATATTATATGAGGCTTGTCGTACTGCTCTTTGTGGGGTAAATTTGAAGTTGATTCTGAATGAAATTATGATACCAGAGGAAGTTTGATTCTGAAAATGTTTTGAGTCGCCGACGCAAGCATTTATATCTGAAAAATGGAAAATTGGAAAATTGATTGAAAAGTCAACATTGGTGAGTGGTGTTCGCCACCTCTTCCAGTGATGTGGGGAAAGAAGATTTTCAAATTAATTTGTTCACAACAGTCTTCCTTGACTTCATCCACAGGGCTTCTGTGCAACTCTGTTGACACAGCCTACAGATGTAATGAAGACCAGACTAATGAATGCCCCACCAGGCCAGTACAAGGTAAGGGTCAAGTCACTAGACTTCAACCATTACATTCCCGGCCTGAGTAATAGTTTTATAAATTCAAGAACAGAAAAAATGGAATAAGTTTATACTTAATTTCATAATAATAAGTTCAAAATGTGTTTTTCTATAAAGTGCACGTATCCACCAGTATGAAAATTTGGTGCTCACGGCGCTACATCATTATTACCCTGCTCATTGGGCCAATGAAACATTCCAAATGCCATCTCAGCTCCCTGGGGAGTAACAGCTGGATGCTGCCATTTCGGTGCAAAGCAGCCAAAATCAACCACAAGAACCATCTCTGCCCTCGCAGGTACCCATTTACTCTTGGGTGGAGAGAAGCAATGAGTGACAAAGTGCATTCTCAAGGGCACGCTCAACGTAACCCCAGTTACGTCTAGTTATTTCAATTCAAACCTCAAATGTTGTAAACATTCAAATCTTTGGAATAATTTTGTGTGGTGTAACTCGTGAATGTGAGCCTGAAACAGGGTTATTTTATCCCTAACTCAAAATGTTTTCACACAATTGGCCTACATGTACTTCTCTTAGCACACAGTTGGTGGGATAAAATATGGAATTTGCTTTATTTTGGTAACGTAACTTCATGCTCTATTGTTTATTTTGCTAACAGAACATGATGGATTGTTTCGTGACGACAGCCAAAGTCGGCCCGTTAGGATTCTACAAAGGTTTCGTCCCAGCGTTTGTTCGCCTGGCGCCCCACACGATACTCACCTTCATCTTCTTTGAGCAACTCAGACTCCACTTTGGTATTGTCATCTACATCAACAATAACCACAAAAGCTAGAGCATCAGGGGTAACGCTAACTAAAGGGTCTTGAAAAATGCTCGTCCATTCCCTGTGCTGTTGAATATACGCTATGTCTATATGCTTCGAACAATGCGCCAAATGTTTCAACTTCTTGCACACAAAAGTAGCATAAGGTATGCTTGCATCTTGTTAGTGTACAAAGATAAATTTGCCAAATGGTTTGGGTAGGCCTACTAGCTGTTCAAAAATATTGAACTTCTTTTTTCTTCAACTTGTTTTTTTTTTTTTCAACTCTAGAAAATCCAGGATTTATGACGTTCCTTGAAGGACACTGATAAAGAATCTAGACAAAGTAGTGTGCAAGAGTTCAAACTAAATTCCATATTCCATGAGCCTATACTTGAACATACAGAGGTTATTATGTCGGGACTAAAAAAAACTTATTTTTAGGAGACTGGGAGATTTTGGGACTCGGACTCAATTTCACTGCCAGTGAATACTGAATGACCACAATTTGATTCCTAAGAATATACAGGGTTCACCATTGGCAATACAGTCAACTTTTTGTATTGAAGAATATGAATATTTGTATACAAATATAAGAATATCGATGAACTGAAAAAAATTTAGTGGCAGAAGCGAACTGAGATATTTTCCATTTGTAAGATCTTTGGTCCTACTGTTATTGCTCTGAGAGTGAGTGCTTTTATAAAGTGCCAAAGTCTTAGTGCTTTGACATTTGACAGGTCAAATGTCAATAAGATGAAGAAAATTGATTCACAAATTCTAGGTTAACATCTAGTAGCACTTTATATCGAGGTGATAAAGGGACTCTATCAATTAAAACAAAACAAGTTAAAATAAGTGGTGGGATCAAAATCCAGATTTTTTATAAAAAATTTGGTTTGAATTCCACTATTCAGAAAGGATATTGGAAAACTGGTATTGGAAAGCAACCTTAGAAAAAAATTAAGCCTTCCATTTTTTTTGTGACACGAGCTAAAGTAAACAACTGAAACATCCTCAATGTGCTCCATGGTCTGTGATTGTAACCGAATTCACATGCTAGCAGTTATTTTGGTTCAGCATGAGAACTCTGGAGTGATTTTGTAAAAGCTCAGTGGTCGTTGAATTCCGCAAACAATACCCAATCATCATTGAGGGCATTGCATGTGGCACCTCACTCGTCACTTTTTGTTGGCATGACTGTAAGGTGAATGAGAATTTCTGATGAAATCGGATATTCGTTTTCGGTTTGGAAAAAGTTAGGATAACCAGATTTTGAAATCTCTGATCTCTTCCACCACTGATTAAAAAAAAACCTCTTTATTGTTATTATCATTATCACTTGCAAAAGTTTTGGACTAAAAACAGTCACTGAAGAGTTGCAGTAATAGAGTAAAATAACAATTTGAGTATAGTGTGCTGCTTGTAAAGTGTATGAAGATGGAAGAGATTTAGCATAAAGTTTCTTGTGCTTGCAGAGTATTGACTAGTCTATGTATTAGACCATAGCGAAGAGCCACGGTCTATGCTATGTGAGCAGTTTCTCTGATTAATTACGCAAGACAATCACCTCTTGACCTCTAGATTTTGACAAATCAGTGGGCACTTTCTGTATCCGGTCTTCGGTTATTCACCCATTGTCGCGCTATAAAAAACCTAGCCGCACCAAACAAATGCTGTGGTCATGTGCGATAGGCGATACATGCCAAGCTTGGTTTTATAGATCTATGCCCGGCCATTGTTGTATTACAAAGCACTGCATTATAATTGAGCAATAAAACATTTAGTCCCATGAATGTAATGGCGTCACGATTTAGTAAAGCCGACTCCGATTGGCTGAGGCGTGGGGTCACATAAATATGCATGCTTAGATATATCAGACGTTAGACAGGAGACTGGGCTCCGAAAAATTGAGCTCCGAAAATGTTCCCCCACCCCCTCCACTACCCAAAAATGTAATAATGGCAAGATGTCTTACATGTACCTTGATAGAAACAATGCAAACACATTAGAATGATAAGTGTTTTGTAATCCTTAAAGAAATGTACAATAATGGGTTGAAAGTAACATGCATGTCTGTAGGGTTTTCTGGAGTGAAAATAAAAGATTTTCTGAGTTGTTGGTAGAGGACCTGTGTGGTTGTATTAAAGTTCAGGTCCAAGTTCTCTCCAGCAATTTATTTCGTTTATTCCCGGAGGAAAATTTTGAAAAGTCAAGACGAGGTTTAAATTTTAAAACATGATTTTGAAATTAAATGGTGCTAGACTTACTTGTTTGATTGACCAAGATCATGATACTAACAGGCTGTTTCTTGCAACCAAAACAGTCAATTTTGGGGGGAATTATTTTCACATTTGTCACATGAATGTAATTACGGTACGTTGACCGAATTCGTTTGTATATTTTGGTGAAATGGATTTTTGGTAACATTGACAAAGAATAAGGATCCTACAGGGCTTATTGTCTGTGAAGTCAATCATTGTCAATGTAATTCTGTCACATTTAAGATACACTGAAAAGTTCAGTGGATACTTGATTTCTTATGAAATGTGAAATTTTATATTAACAAGGTAGTTTTGCATTGTCTAGGAAGAATTCATCCGAATTTCCATTTTTTTATTTTTGAATTACCAATGGTACATATGTACAATGGTTCACTACTAAGGGTACATATTATTGGATACAATTTCCGGGACATCTTTGAATTTCTGTGAGAAAAGACCCAAAATATTATTGGGAAAATTACACCTTTACACCTTGTTTTAATCATAACTTTTGCCATTCTCTTAACTGCTAAAAACAACTCGAGTATGAAATGTAAACCAACAAAATCTGGCAGGTTTAGACAATATAGATTCAATCCAATATACCCTTGTTTGATCTTGCAGGATTTGTTCAGTTAGATCATGCTCAGTATTGCTCGAAGCCAGTCATAGTGTAACCAAGGCAATTGTTTCCGCTGAATTGGTAATAATTTTTGACTTCACACCAGAATTCTGGATTGTACTTCTATGTTTAATAAAATGCTGCCTTAAAATTGTATGATTAATCATGCCAAATAGTTTCTTAAGTTTTATTTAGTATTATGTTTTCATTTTTACTTGCACATTTAGCGAATGAATTTCCTTGTGACTCTTGTCAGTTCCCTTTTTGGGGGGGATAGTCTTCTTTTTTTTCATTATGAACCAAATTTATTAGAAACCAAAATATATATAATATAAATATATTGTCAGTAATCTCTAGTTACAGTTCCAGATAACAAAATTGAAAGAATGATTAAATATGACATCTTAGACAATTCTAGATTGGTTCTGTTTCATCGACGGTAGATAACTTTCTGGTCCTTTTAAACATCTTGGCGACGATATTATTTTTCTTCACAAATTAACTCCATGTAGTCCGAAGGAAATCACAAAAACATGGCCAGTTTCTGAGAGCCGTCAGGGTCCAACTTTGATGAGCACAATTAATTTCTGTAGTTAACTATTACAATATTGTTAAAGATTTTCTAAATACAAACGTGCTATAAAACAATTATTATGTATGAATGAAACAGTGTTTTCCTCTTCTGTGAATATTAAATCGTAATTTTAAAACCGCAGCTGGTGCATTCACATTGCTTATTTCTATTATGTTTTGGAGAAAAAGTCAATGTATATTTAGGTGTAGAATAGTCTTTCCAAATTAGATCCCCATGTTCAATTTCTATACTTTATTTACCAGCTGAAATTTATTTCAAGTAGAGCATGTTATGAGCCGAAAATTTTAATATCTTTAAGTGTATTTTCCTGGTACTGATATGCTTCTTTAGCCTTATGAAACGGTGCTTTTTAAGCTCTGACAGGAGTTTCTACATCTCACTTGGTGGTCGGTCGGCGTCGCATTTTTTGGTGTCGCATTTTTAAGCTCTGGCAGGGATCATTTTGATCGATTCCGTGCAAAAATTTCATGCAAGACTTTCATGCAAGACTTTTTGCTGCAACGTCAGCTTCAATAACGTCGCCATCTTCAATGCAAAACAGCCAGAGCTTAAGCTCTGGCACAACGAGGTATGTGCTACAATCCCGGCCAAAATAGTTGGGACACTTCCTGAGCCTGCCACGGTCTCCCACTCCCCCTGACCCCCCCCCCCCCCCCCCTCCCCCTCCCCGGTCAATGTTGTTCTCTCCAGCTGATGGAGCACACACCGCGCAATGAGAGACAACATTAAACGGGGGCCGGGGTTGGGGGCCCAGCGAGATTTGGCCAGGATTGTAGTTTGAGTTGAACCGAAATGTGTTTTGCATAAAATATTGCTAGGACTTAAAACAAGATTTCCAGTCACAATATAAGCTCTGATTTAAGACATATGAATGAAAACAAATATTTGTTAATTTTTTTCCCGTTTCAATTAGTTGAATTTTCGTTTTCTTTTTCAATTAGTTGAATTTAGAAGACAGGAGTGCATTCTTCCTACTTTGGCTTTTTCTTGTGTTTTGCTTAGATGCAAGGGTTGAATCCAAATAGTTTTGTTTCTCTTTATGTTAAATTATATCTCAATTCTTGATATGTTTTCATGTAAAATAATACTGATTTTTTTTTAAACGAACACTAACAAGAGTGTGTGCATCAAATTAATGTTCACCTGAGAATTAGCTGAAGTAATGATGGCATTACTGAAATGAACATTAATTGTTAGTCATTTGGATGTTGTAATGTTCAGCACACATTGCTGGCCAAGTTAAAGTTAATTTGCCAAAAATGCTTTGCAGATATTGTACTTTATTAATTGATTCGGTCGTTTTACTACCAATTTTTTTGTGTGAATATTTTAATGGAATTTAAAATTGACAATCTGTATTGACGCTATTGAATGAAAATAAACCATTATATATCCGATGTATTAGTTATGTTTTTTGAGTTGAGCGTTCCACTGAAAACTTGAAAGTAAGCCTAGGCTGGGCTACAGTGCGTCTAAATTTCAATTTGTAAATAGGTATAGTTTGTAAAGTTTGTTTCAAAAAATATTGACATAAACCAAAATCACATGGCAGGCATTGCCGATCTAGTCTGAAGAAAGTGACTCAATCATTTTTGGGTAGAAGTGAGTAAGGGTAGGCCTCGGTATACGTGCAGTTTTCAAAAACGATATGGAAGGATTGGCGCGGCCGCGCGGGTGTGTGGACCACATAGAGCTAAAGTGGCGCGGGTATTCTGTAAATTTTAATGTATCGATGCACAAGTGTTTGAAAACTATTTTTTTTTCAAAATACAAGTCTTCCAGCACGGTACGTATACGATCGAGTCAAGATTCGTACAGTACAGTACATACAGCAGCAATGTGATGAACCAACCCGGCCAGTCAATGAAAGAAAACGCGCCCTCTATTGTGTTTTGGCTTTTATGTGTATCAGTATCAGTGACGTCTAGTCTGCAGCAAGACAGTTTCCTCGACGACAGTTTTCTCATATTTTGTGATTTTGATTTTACTGAGTGACAAGAAGTCATCATGTATGGGCATGGATGCGGTGGAGCGGCGCAAAGACATGCTAGGGTAAGGGCTAATCCTGTACCTTGCTCTATGTCTGCACAAACATGGAGGATAAACGGACCAAAATACAATTTGTGGTGTGCCTGCCTATGGCACATAATGCATGCATTGGCATTGCCTTTGGGTATTGCACTCGTACTTGCTCATTGTCAATGGCGTAAATCCGGGGGGGGGGGGGGGGGGGGGGAGGGGGATGGTTGGTCTGGTGAGAATATAGGATAGATTCCCATATCTGGCCATCACTTGTCACCCTGTGCACAAACCCTATGAGACTGGTCTGAAAGTGAAAATGTTTTCTCAGTAATAGCCCCATAATGTGGCCAGTTTACTGGACTGCCTCCGTAAACATAGGCCACACAGCCACCATCTTGGAAACTGACTCGACGAAATTTAAAAAAAAAAATTCGGTGATTTCCACATTGCGACTTCAAACCCAGTTCATTTATGCTTTAAAAATACACTTACCCTCTTAATAACAAAATTAGAACCTGCTGCCAGTGTCAGTTGCCCAGCTGCTGCGTAATTTACGACATTTTCTGGACCATTCTTGGCAACTTGGTCCAACCGTGGAGCTATCTCCATGGTCCAACTGAACAATGCCCTCGCGCAGATCGTTCACCTGTCAATCACGCGTGCAGGACGCACGCCGCAGGCCCAGTGGTAGTCCGGTTCCAAGACCAAAAGATTCTGACTATTCCTAGGATGGAATAGTCAGAATCTTTTGGTCTGGGAACCGGACTACCACTGGGCCTGCGGCGTGCGTCCTGCACGCGTGATTGACAGGTGAACGATCTGCGCGAGGGCATTGTTCAGTTGGACCATGGAGATAGCTCCACGGTTGGACCAAGTTGCCAAGAATGGTCCAGAAAATGTCGTAAATTACGCAGCAGCTGGGCAACTGACACTGGCAGCAGGTTCTAATTTTGTTATTAAGAGGGTAAGTGTATTTTTAAAGCATAAATGAACTGGGTTTGAAGTCGCAATGTGGAAATCACCGAATTTTTTTTTTTAAATTTCGTCGAGTCAGTTTCCAAGATGGTGGCTGTGTGGCCTATGTTTACGGAGGCAGTCCAGTAAACTGGCCACATTATGGGGCTATCTCAGTAAATACTTCAATATTTTAGTAAAATATTGAAGTATTTACTGAATACTGAGAAAACATTTTCACTTTCAGACCAGTCTCATAGGGTTTGTGCACAGGGTGACAAGTGATGGCCAGATATTAAAATTAAAATTTGTGGTGGTAGGCCTATAGATTACACGAAAGGATGACCTTGGAGGAAGGAATGGGATGACCCACCATTGGATTAATGACACACCATTCCCGAGGGTCATCATACAATAGGCCCATAACACCCCTGAATGTCAAGTTAATTAATTCCCAAATGAATTACTTTTTTTCTGTAGTTCAGAATCAAAGCTGTCTCTTAATAAGGACTTATTTACTAACTTTGAAAAAGTGAAAATTTATTTGAATTTTATTTCTGCTTTTTATATGTTTTGTTATTCTAGCGCGAAGCCCATGCTGAAATGCGTGAAGCCCACCTACAGACTAAAGCTGTACATGCTGCCATGCACGGAAACGTCGCCCGTGCCAGTGTGCTCCAGGTAAACAAAAAACAAAATGTCAAAGTTTTTGAGGTGATTGTGCAATTATATCCCCGATCCTAGAAAAGAACAAAACTCCACTTTCAGGGTAGTGGACTCACCCAACTAGTAATGGGCCTATCAAATGTCCCACCACCCGCGTTTTTTTTATTACATCATATGATTCTCAAATTGTAACTTTGAAGTTTGAGCAACAGACATATAAACATAGAATCCTTAGCATATACCCTGTACAGGAACCCAGTATCTAAACTGTCAAGGTAGTCTAAAGCCCAGAGTGACTCGGCTGTACCAACTTCATTCATGTTATTTACTGAAAACTCTCTAAAAATGATTGAGGGTGAAGTGTCTGCCCATGTATCTGGGTCAGTGACGAGACTGCATCTCTGTTCATTTTTGCTTTTCCGCTTGAAAGCGGAAAAGCATTGCTTTTGTTCCGATTTTTTTTTTCTCTCAAAAATACACAAAGTACATTTTAAAAGTTTTACGTACGTACATGTACATGTGCATCTTTGTAATAGCCCGACAATTACAAAATTAGCAGTTGTAGAAAATAAATCAAAACATCTACTTTTGACCAAAATATTGGGTTGATTTCATCCATTTTTGTTATGATTGTTTTCTTTCTGTTTGATTTCTTCCATTGAATGAGAAGGTCTATTTTATAGTTTTTATAACTGACCTCTAATCATTTCAAACTGGTTATGTATAGTGCCAATTTTTTTTATCACTGACTTATAATCACTTCAAACTGGTAGGGATATTGCCAATTTGGACCAGTTTGTAAAAATGTTCTTCAGCCACGAACAGAATCATCGCTTTTGTTTAATAATTACAAGAGTTTTGTTTTATTTCGTTGTCATCCACTTAGATGAAAGCTAACATGGCCCATCAAACTGCCGAGCGTGAACACCATATGGCCAACACCTTCGGTCATCATCATCATCATCATCATCGTCACAGCCCTGTTCCTTCCTGTAGCCCTTGCGTTCCCTCACCTTTCTTGCCAGGCCTAGGTTCTACAGTGGTGGTCCATGTAAGTCACTAACCCACTGGTCCCCACCAAACAAAGAGGTCGGTGACAGCCTAACGCTTTCTGTTGTTCACTGATGAAAAATACAAAAAGTCGAATTGTCGAACTTTACAACAGCAAGTGCTGTCGTAGACGGGCTTCACCCTAGACAAGTTCTGTCTAGTGTTTTTCAACTGAGTCAACCATGTGTCTAGACACTCAAAATTTAGAAGTTGAAGAACTCAATCAGTACACCAATAATGCTTGGATGGTATTTTTCTGTTGTGAAACCATTCATGTACAACTGTATTTATCACAAATTTTTTGATATTCAGAAATGGACTGAACTGCTACGCCAGTTTTTCATTGTCTACATTTTAATTATTAAATGGCATGGAGTTTCTGTTTTTGACAGGTTTTGTCAAATGAGGGAAGGGGGGGGGGGGTTAGGAGGGGGTGGGGAGCTTTGCTGTTCACAGATGCCCAAAGCTCTAGCATGTTGTTCAAAAGGCGTTCTTCTATTCAGGGTATTCAATGTATGAAGTGTGCACTCGAAAAAATTTGTCACCTACTCTTGTCTGTTTTATGTATTTTTTTCGACTTGAACAGCACGTGAATCCCACTCCTCCTGTGAACTACCCGCTTGGCACTGTTGCCCCACCGCCAGCTCAGCCACCACCAGCTTATCAACGTGAGTACCTCTATTCACTCAGCTCTATCCACTTTTTGCCAGGAGTGAATTTGGAGTCAAGTCCATGTTCTCGGAATCAATTCTGAAGATTAAAGGTTAAGATTAAAGGGTTAATTAACATGTACCTTGCTAAATATTCACAACAGGGATATAAGTAAAAAGCCATCATTGATTATTTAGCCTGCAGGTTCAGTTTATTTTATTTGTTGTTGTTTTTTTTCCAGCTGCTGGCAACCCATACACAGCTGCTCCTACCTACCCAGCTGCTCCTGCATACCCAGCTACTCCTGCATACCCAGCAGCACCCAGTTACCCAGCAGCACCCAGTTACCCAGCAGCACCCACCGGGTACGCAGCTCCACCCAGTTACCCAGCACAGCCAGCATACCCAGCTCAGCCAGCATACCCAGCTCAGCCAGCTTACCCAGCTACGCCGGCTGCCCCTGCTTACCCAGGACCCGCTGCATACCCAAACCCCTACCAGTAAAGTTAGTAGCCCAGTACCAGTGAGTAGATTACACAGGGTATCCAGCTCCACCCAGTAACACAACTCGGCCTGTATACCCTGCTGTGCCGGCTGCCTGCATACCCAGGACCCACTGTGTACCCAAACCCCTACATAGTAGCCCAGTGCCAGCGATGAAATGTCATTTACCCACTCATGCAGTGGCACCCACTTGGTACCCAGATTCACCCAGTAACACAGCTCAGCCCTTGTTACCTTGCTGTGCCGGCTGCCTGTATACCCAAGCCTGTTCATGAAGTAGCCCAATGCATTCAGTTACATTCACCCACTTTATACCCAGTGGCACCCATCAGGTACCTAGTAATCCAGTAACCCAGCACAGCCACCATACTCGGCTGTGTTGGGTTACCCAGCAGCACCCACTACATACCTAAACTTGTACATGTAAGCACCAACAAGATCCTATACCACCTTTAAAGACTGGCATTCCAGAGTCACTTGGAAAGAAACTGTTCTGAAGAATTGGATTAAGTACTTGAATAATTTGACTTGGAAAAAGTTCGCAGAGACCAGGTTGAAAGATCAATTGTTGCAGTCAATTTTGGATGACCATTTTGGTCACTAACTGAGAATGATCCCAATTCTGCTCCCATTTTGATTTTCTTTCCGTTAAGAAAAAAAATGCTGAAATACTTGTTCCAATCCCCACCCCACCCCTTGCATTTCAAGGAAATGGATTATATGTGTAGCTTGGTACATTTTGCATGGTTTTTGTAAATGTGGTTTTATTTCGTTATTATTCTACTTATTCACTTATATTATTCACTTATATGTGAATCTTTTGTAGGTAAAAAATTCAATTCTTCTTTTCTTGTAATAAACTGTCGTGAAAAACCGAAATGTATTTAATTGAAGCTTTTTTCCTTTTTTTGAAAGTTCAAGTGACTTGCGAAGTCGTGTACTTAACAATTATACAGAAGCCATAGAAAGTGCATTGCAACAATCTGCCTCAATGTTTGGACACAAAAGATACAAGCATTGAAGCATGCACCATCTTGTCCTGTGTTGCATTGAAAGATCAGACACCATCTTGTGTGCATACCCCCCCCCCCCCCCCCTTCGCTTGTCACAACTTTACAAGAGTGACTTGGGTGCAGGAATATTTTGAGATAGTTTCAAGGAAATGTTTCATATGGGTAGCTCGGTAAATTTTTGTGAAAAAAAAAAATCAGTGAATCAATCCCTAATGACTTTATGTCCTAAAATTAAATAATTAAAAGCAAATAAAATAATTAGTAGAGTACATCATGTTATCAGTATTTTGCTTATATGTTTAAATAACCACTAGTACAAGTATTCTTTATTTTATGTTATATTGGCAAAGTGAAAAATTAACTGAAATAAAGATCCAATATTACTTCAAACAGTTTCGTGAGAGAAATTTCATGATAGAAATTTAATCTATATTAGTTGTCGGAAATCTCTGTTATTGTAAAATATATTTGCTATTTTTGTAAATGAAATGATTGTACTATACACAGATATGAACTAAATTAGCCTTAATACAGATAGTCTTTAACCTTGCGTTTTCAGTACCAAGTTTGTTTTTCATTTTTCTTATAAATATGCACATCTGTTTTCACCAAAAAAAAAACACAAAAAAAAACAAAACAGTTAAATCGGTTTGTTTTTCAAAAAGAGGATGAGGGGCAATTTAGTTATTTTTATTGAAAAATAGGCTTTCCTGACATTTGGGTTTCCTTTTTTTTTTACTCGTCCTGTATGCAAAATTGCCTCGCACTCGCAAGCGATTTTTCCCCGTAAATGGGTGAATCAATTTTCACAAATAATTCACTTGAAAAAAATCTGTCACTACCCACAGAACCATTGGTAACATCACTTGTAACACCTCTAATGTCATATATCTCATTTCTTGCAGGGTCTGTGGAGTGCAGTATGTAGGTGAGACTAAGAATACGCTCAAGAAGCGTTTCTATGCCCACCGGTCAACGGTCAACACCAAGAAACTAGACACCCCTGTTGGTCATCACTTCAACCTGCCTAACCACTCCATTTCTGATATGATTTTGCAGGGCATTGAATCTCTTGGCCATCGCAAGGACTCAGTTCGCCTCAGCAGAGAGAAAGTGTGGATGAATCGTCTTCGAACTATTCAACCACATGGTCTCAACATCCAACTTGGAAATGATTAATCCTTTTCTTCCTCCATTGTCTTCTGTTACAGATAATCCATCTGGTCTTCCTTGTTTGTGTTTACCCATCTTCCCCCATCTTTCATCCCTTTCCACCTCAATACTGTTCCCCCCCCCCCACATCATCCCTTCACTCTCACACTCTTTTGTCCGTTCCCACTCCCTGTGACCTTTGATCCTTCCCCTTTCTGGTCCCTCCCCTTGTGGTTTGCCATCTCCCTTTGTTTCTTTGTTCTCTCATCCACCCTCCCCTGCATCTTTCCACACCTTTCACACCTAATCCTCCTTTTGTGTTTCTTCTTTCAGCCCTGCATGTTTGTGTGCACCCCCATGTTAATGTATGTACCTCTGTCATTTCTGTTTTAGCCTCTGAAGAAGAACTTGCTAAGTTCGCAACGTCAGGCCACATTAATTTTAAGATTTAAATAATTCACTTGTTTAGAATCACGGAAAAACACTCCAGGTTCACGGACTCTCAAATTATCCAAACGAAAAACTTGGAGAAGTAAAAGTGTCCTTGAGTAGGAGAAGGCAAGGCCTGAAAACGCCTCTCGTCGTGTATCGTGCGATTCGAAAGGAGGGGGAGGGACCAGTGTTCCGGACCCCCATTCAAAATATTAATTTCCTTATTCCGAGAGCCAAATTTCCTTGTCCCCCCCCCCTCGATTTCCTATTTTTTTAAACCACCAAAAAAAACCTAATAATTATACATTGTACTACTTATATTAACTTATTGGTAAAACATTTGACCACAGACCAACTTGTGCGCACGCCAATCAAGTTTAATCTACTCGTCTGGTTTCAAGTCATTCTGAAACTGACAGGATATTTAAATTTTTACGAGAATATTGTAGAATTTGCTACTAATTTTATAAAATATTGTATAGAATTTGCTCAAAATGTAATCAGTTCCTTAGACTTTCTTTAAATGTGGGGGATTTCCTCAAAATGTCCATAGTTTTTTACCATTTCCTTAGAAGTTTCAAATCGAATTTCGCGCGGGTTGGGTAGACCACGTGCAGCGATTGGAATATGTGGCGGGTTTGCCTGTGCATGACTGTGCCGATCATGCCAAGCAACTGAAGAAACCCCCTCTAGCTTTTGTTTGGCTCAGTGACATGTTTAATTTACCGATACTCTAATGTTTTAAAGTTTCTTTTTCAAAATCGAGCCAAGCATGACACAGAACCAGTCAATCAAACAAAACGCGCCCTCTATTATTGCGTCTTTGCGTGACAACCGACAGTGTTTTTTTTATCGATCATCAGCGCTCAGAAAGACGGTATAAACCAGGACTGTTTGTTCCTATTTTGAGATTTCACGAAATAAGAAGTCATCATGTTTGGTCATTTTCATGGATGCAGTGAAGTGGCAGACATACACACTGAGGTAAGAGCTTATCCAGTACTGAAGTCAGTACGAACCAACGGAAAGAAAAAGGCCGGTGGCCTAATGCAGAATTGACAACGTTTGTGGTGTGTGCAGAACTCTCACACACTCGCATGATTTAGCAAGGAAACGTACTAAAAGCGTTGTGTTTGCAAGCCACGCCCATATAGGGGGCAATTCCATGGTAACTTTTGTTAGTTTTAGGCACTTTGACACATACAAAAGAGTCTCACAACTTAATGCGTTGTGTTCAACTCTAACTAACAGTAAGACATTTTTATATGAACATATGACAAGTTTATACCTCTGGTTCTTTTCAGAACCATTTTCTTAGTTGAGAAATTATTCGCACATGGTGTTTCCGCAAACCTTTCATTATTTAGTGTCTCCACCATAGCATGCAAAGCCTCATATATTACTTGTTAACTTTCGCTACGTGAAAAGGACATTTTGTGGAGGTCTTGATTCAAAAGTCTCCTCATACTGGACATGCATTGATAAAAGTAATATACCATTTATTTCCTGGTAAACTTAACAAATATTGGTAAAGGGAAATAAAAGAAATCTCATTTCCAATTTTGGCCACGTACCCTAAAATGGTGGTAACTTTTGTTACGGTAACTTACGTTACAGTTTGTCCGCCCAGAATTGGTACAAGTTTTAAACGTTCACTAACTTATAATCAATCAAAAAATCTCTTGGCATGAAATTGGAACCTTTCTCTCTGACTTGCAAAGAAAAACTCATAATGAATGGATTTAAGTTCATTGGTAGAATGCATGTGATCACTTTTTCCATCATACAATGAAACTTCAGAGAAAAATTGAGTGGAGCCATGGAGAAAGATGATGGGATCGGGAACCCCCACCCTCAAACACATTTCGAAAGCTGTAACAACTAGTTTTTAATGAAAGCTCTGGGAAAACCAATATTGAAGCAGTTCTGAACTTAAATGTGTCCTGTACAAAACACAAAATCGAGCTTTTAGTTAACTTCAATGGTGTTTTTGTTGCTCTAGCGTGAAGTCAAAGCTGAAATGCGTGAAGCTCATCTGCAGACTAATGCTATGCATGCTGCCATGCTCGGAAACACCGCCGAGGCCAGGAGGCTCCAGGTAAAAAATAAAATCAAGTTATTTTTATGAAGGCATATAGTTATACGGGCCCCTATTATAAGAGAACACTCCACTTTAAGGGTAGTTGTCTTACCTAACTTATAGGGCCTATACTGTACACAGCGATGTCTAAAACCAAGGAATGCTATGACTGCTAAGGTTTTGCTTTTTGGATGGAAATATTGGGTTAATGATGATGAAGACGACAAGCACATCAAGAAAACTAGAAAGCACTCAGAGAGCGCAAACCTGATCCTCCAAGGCTAAACAATTCGCCACCATACGCCCAAAAGATCCAGACCCACTGAGATCCGGATCACTTCCAAAATCTAATCGATTTGTACCAAGGACCACCCCTAAAAATGTTTTCATGCAAATCCGTCCATATAACTTTTGGAGTTATCTTGTTAACAGACAAACCAACCAACCAACCAACCAACAAACAAACTAACTAACCATCGCCGATGGAAACATATACCTCCTTGGCGGAAGAAATAAAATCATGACGATCACCGCATGCATGATGCACCGTGAAAGTAACCCAGTGATTCTGGTAAAGTTAGCGAGACAAATTGCTCCATGTTTTTATATTGCATGTATCGTTCTCAAGTTTGCAGTATGCTAATTTGGTTTTGTCTACCAAAAGATATTATTGCAAGTTACAGAAAATAGGGTCACTGAATATTTTATTATAGACTCATTTTGAAATGATAAAAACACTCCAGAACCAAAACGAAAGAACCGGGCCTAACAACTACACGCTCAAACTTTTTAACTCACTCAATTAACACCAGTGATTCTGGTAAAGTTAGCGAGACAAAATGTTTTTATATTGCATGTAGGCCTATATCGCTCTCAAGTTTGCAGTACGCCTTTTTTTTCTTGATGATGCATGAACCCTACAGATATCTTTCCTTCCCATTCGTTTGAAGTTTGAGCAGCAGACATAAACATATCCCGAGTACCCTGTTCACACATCCCATTATTACCCATTATCTAAACTGTCAAGGTAATCTGAAACCAAGAGTGAATCGGCTGTGGCAACTTTATTCTGAAAAAAAACCCTCTAAAAATATATGGATTTTGAAGAATCTGCCTATCATCTTCTTCAGTGAAGAAACAAGTTCTGGATAAACTGGATGTCTCTATTCATTAATAAAAATATACATCAAAACTGACATTTCTAGGCTGGGTTGACTGGTGTACATAATAAAGGGCTTTAAAATCAATTCCTGATTTCGACTTTTGAATTACCAAAATTGCCAGTGTACTGCTGACACCGCGTGCAATGAAAGCTTGCAGTGAAAGTGGCATACATGTTGCATCAGTGGTATTTGGCTATCAGCGTTACAGTATGGAGTGACGCAGAAGTAAAACCAGATATACAATATCCGATTTTTTGTTAACAAAAGAATGCACTCCGTGCAGAACCGTTGACCGTACAATGCTTGCTTAAAAATTATGCCAGGGCACAAATTTCCCATCAGCACAATTGAAAAATATCACCTTTGGCGTTTGTTCAGTGAACTGGGTTAGCTTCTGTGAAAAGAGATATTGATCTGCAAGTCACGAGTAAAGGCCAATGGCTGCATTGAAACCCAATTTCTGAAGCCTGTGAAGTACTCAATCTTTCAAAATAATACGTGTATACTGGGAGGTTGGATACCTATGTTCCCCGGTCCCTATATATGTTCCAGTCCATATGTTCCC